CGGGGCCAAAAGAACCTCAAAAGACATTTTAATACAACGATTTCCTCCAAATTGAAGACCATCAAGCGAACTTCCAAGTGACATCTTCTGTTTGAAATCTCCCTGGGATCTATGACCCACTATTACTTGCTCCCGTTTTTTTTAACAGGTTCCAAATTTTCAGGTAGCGATTCAATGTATTTCAGCAGGTCCTAACATTTGGGTTCTATTATGTTAAAAACATGATGAATTTCTTACATCCTGATGATCAACTTTATCGTATCTTTTATTTCAACAGACAAACATTGTCTGTAAAAGTTTCATATTACTGCTACCGGTCTTGTTTTATGAATATTCACATAAATCAGTTAGATAGCATTGTCTGCCAATAAAAAAGCTCCTACAGGTTGTATCATGCAAATAATGTAATAATTTGGTCACGAAATCCCAAATAAAACGGGGGTTTACAAGAGATCTTTTTCTTGGTTATGGGAAAGAGGTTTTATCAATTTCAATCCTAGTTTTGATAAAGAGTCGAATTTTCTTTCTCGTTATCTCAAAAATTTGACGGTGAAGTGAGTCTGATGCTATTTCAAATGCATTTCCCGAATGTGAAGCGAAAATAAGAATTTTATGCACACATCTTTAGCATTTTGCACACATAAAACGCCTATTTACGATTAGAAAACGCTTATTTCACCACAAGTCGGTCAAGCCAAATCGTCCTAATATTTGGTAATTTTTGATAATATTTGATAACTCTGCTTAGCTTTGGTGTGATGTGTTTTTGCTCTTCTATTCTTTTTTAAAGTATTACTTGGATTACTATTACTTGGCGTTTATATATTATTCAACCAGACTTAAGTACAATAAAAAGGTTGTACTTATATGTATTGTATTGTACTTAAATTTTATATGTATTGAACTATAGGCAGTATATAGAGTATTCTGGAACGTTAAATTAGCCGTTTGATGTTCCTCAAGAAGCTGTTCTGTGTCCTCAGTTTGATAATCAACTAACTGCGAAAGATTTTAAGAATTTCAAAAAGACACCGGGGAGTTGTATGAATTTTTGGGGGGAATGGCAAGTGGAGGAAGTGGTGTGCGTAAATAAATGAAAACTTTTTACCAAGCACAAGCTGCCAGGTGTTCCTGGTATACTTGGCAGGAATTGTCGGCAGGAATTGTCTGTATAACGATATAGCAGTGAGTATTTAGCTGTTTTTGACGTCGCTTTAAACATATGATATGTTTGTAGAATGACTACCTCGATCTACTGTCAAAGCCTGTTAGCTTGATGGGTTTTCCAATGCTTTTCATGGCTTGACCCTCCCACTATAGCAGGTTTTCCAATCAGTTATAGCTAGAAAATCCTTTCCAAACGTGACAATTGACAAGTTTATATTCAAGCAAACATAGTCAAAGGCTAGGATTACATACTGTAAATAAGATCAAGCTCATGGTAAGTCACTGTATGACGTTCTTTTTCATTTGAATCAAGATCGGATATTCTGGTATCGCTCCCCTTGCTGAATTGATAAATATATTCAGGTTGCGTTACTGACTTCACCAATAATACTGACAGTGGCCCTGGTTGTTTTTATGACCCCTTTTAGTAACAATGCAAGCGTTTATTAGAAACACAAAAAACCACAACATAAGGTGTCATGTAATACAACCTTATCAGTCCCAAGAAGAGCTCTTTTCCTCCTATCATTTGTGTCTATTGAACACTGAATAGGCCTTATCGTCGGAAAGACCCATTTCAGTCCTATCTTTAAATGATACATTTGATTATTGCTATCCACTCCGACGTCCAAGGACCAAAAATTGTTTGCAATCAGCTATTATATCATTCATTTCCAAAATCATCGTTTACTGGCAAATGGAAGCATTTTTAAATTTAGCCTTGAAACAACCATGACTGAAAAAAGTTACTTTTCAAGGCGGTTTTCACAATTGGATATTTCATCTAATGCAAAATAGGCGTGAACACTTAATGAAGCAAGAACGCAGGATTTCGAAAAACGTAACGCTGTGAAAACGCGCTTCAATGTGTACAGAGTTAAGATTAGTCATGATCCTCCCCGCAGTTAAAAAGCCAAAATTTGAAAATTTTTCTCAGAAGTCGGTGTAAGAAAGGTGATCTCTTTTCACAATGTTTTGCAATGCAGTCCCATTGTTTCCGGACTCGGTCTGAACTTCATTTGGTGCTCTAGACCACATTTTCAACGTTTATCGCGATATCAAATCTGTACGCCTCCATATCAAAATGAAGAACTGCATCAAAAGGTATATAGTCGAGGGTGTTATTGAGGAAGGAGTTAGGGGGCTCAACTCTCATTATCAAATTTCGGTGAAATTTTGGGGGCTCAGGCCCCTTTACTAGTCTGGATAAGTTTGGTTGGGCAAATTCTACTTGGCACTGTGAACTAACCCAATTATTGTGAATTGATTTTTCACGAATGAGTAAATTCTACTAGTATTTTAGAATTAATGAATATTTTGAATGATTTTATCTATGCAACACAGAATCTTTAACGTAAAATTTATAGTGTGACGAAGGGTGTGGTCACGGGTGTGGCTTCTAGAAATTGCCCACAGCACCCCTCCCCTCCCCCTTCTTATGGCCACACCCATGTTTATAGTGACAAACAACTAGTTATCGCAGTGACTTGACCTCGGGCCATCGCCTTGATAATTGAATGCACTCTTGGTCCTGTTCTTCAATTTCAAAAGGCAATTAGTGAAATCGGACAAATGTGTCTAAAAACTGCAACATATGTCGACTAACCTTTGAAATCTCAAGATTTTGTGAATCGTGAACATAAAATATTTAAATGTGAAGATGAAAGGGCAAGAGAATTCATTGTCGTCGAATGTGTTCTTGGTTTGATGAGATCCGTTGAAAGCGGCTGATTTTTACTTAGAATGTAGAAAGCATGCTCACATTTTTGTTATGATCTGTCCTTGCTTTACCATCTCTTGCCATGATCTTTCTGTTATTAATTCCAAGCCCTACTTTGTGGCCAGAATCGTAGAAATAATACCACAGCCCCTATTCAATGCCTTCGACAATGTTTTGTCACAGTTAGAACCAACAAACGCAGAGAATTTCATAACAAAGGTTTCTGTTTTGTGTGTTGTATCAACTTGCTATTTTTGTTATCTTTTTAATCTTTATCTCACATCATTTGATATTTTTGTTTGCTATTTACGTTGCGTTTCCTTTTATATGATTCTTTCAAACATTTTCAGTTAGTTTTTCGGCATTGCTATTCCGTGTTTTTTGTAAGAATTATTTTTTTACGAGTTCTTTGTGAAAATTTCTTTGCACCGTTTGGATAATATTTCAGTTTTACGGAAAAACACGAGCAACCTTTTGTTTAACTTTTGTTTACTGAAGGTAGATCAGTTTTCTCAAGAACTGCCCGGGGATAAAATTCCTTACTTTGAAATCTTGTAAGTAAATGAGAAAGTGTAAATGAAATTCACCATTTGGAAAACCACCGAACGGTGGCTGATTTAGTTCTTCCACTGGTTTGTGAACACAGTCAAGTTTCTGTCGTGATGTTATGTCCTGGGTTCTAGTGTTACCTTTTGCCACGTCACTTTAACTATCCTTCGAGACGGCTACCTGACTACAGCATCTACCGTGCGAGAGCGAAACAGCTGTTTTTAAAGGAGCTCCATTACACGTGGGCAAAAAGGCAATGCGCATCAGATTCTTCTCTTCATAATTTGGGAGACGAGAATCTTTTTTGGTTTGTTCAACCCTAAACCGCTGAGCAAACCGGGCGCTAAGATAGGAATTTCAAAGAAGGGGTCGGATGCTGATTGAAAGTGGTATGCCAGGGGCGTAGTTTTGAGCTCCAAAGTGCTCAGTTTTTGAAAGTGAGGATTTTGGGATAGCAATGAGTCGTGAAGGGCAGAAACTCTAACAATTTTAGGCCTATTTGCGGCGAAAATTTTCTTCGAATTTAGATCAAAGGAGTAGTCATTTCCCTGCGTGAACCTACAGAAAAGTGGCCTAACAATTGCTTTCGATAGCACTTGCTATGTGTGTTTGAACAGTCATACAAACTTGTACACACAAGTATAATTCTGTCGGATGCTTTGTTGAAACTGTGGACGATGGTAAAACCCCGAATGCTTAGATTCTGTCTTTATCATTTTAGCATTAACTTAGTGGTGTGTGTTTTTAGGTAGAAGCAGAAAAATTATCATTAGATTTTTACATGTAATTTGTCAAGATAAATGAAATATTCAGTTATCTGTATGTTAACCAATACGAAAAAGTATAGCTCAGCATATATTAGAAGAGAAGATTACTAAGAGATCACCTTGTGAAGTCATAGACATTCGGAATAAGATTTTGAAGTTAACTGTTCTTGAAATTATTCAAAATATCAGGAATACAGAGCAATGCTAGTGGCAGATTTGACGCTTCTGTGTTCTTGAATCTTTTCTCGCTTTAATATGTTCAAAGTATTTGTTTTTCCATTTCTTGACATCTTTTGATCTGTCGAGAAATGAGAATACAACTATGTATTTTATTTCTACTTTCCTTTTGTATAATTCGGCCAACTGTTATACATTAGAGACATTGTTTTCATTAAATCTGGTTGGATGAACCAAATCTTGATATTTTACCAAACTCTTCTATTCAAAGCAACTTTGCGTAACTTCCTCTCGTTGCAAATAATTTGCAAATTTAAACTAGAAAATATACCAACATCCAATGATCTATGTCTCAAATATTCATTACAGAGCAAAATGACATGGTAGAATTGTTGTTTTCTAAATTCTCGTTAGGTGAGTCATTCCATGGGATTTCTTTAGGAAGGGATCAGTTATCCCTTTAGCCTCTTAATGAATATCAAAGAATAGTTAAACGACCCAATAAAGGACACTATTCGTGCATTTACCTGTCAATTGTTGAGATTCAAATGCATCATTTAGAATTTGCGAATGATATGAACCCTTTTAATAGTAACTGTTTCAATTTCTGTGATGCACTGGGAAAATAGATCTGCGTTTATGTTCTCTTAAGTAAAAAGACGGGAATACCTTCCCGTTTCAAGTTACAGATTAGACTACTTTTAATTTCAATACCAGGATTTCACTGCCTGAACCAAATGAGCGCATGTGCACAGCAATAAATTAGTTGTCTTAATTGGCTGGTTTATAATCATATTCATACATATTAGCTAGCAATCAGAAGAGGTTTGTTAAGAGTCTCCTGTAGGTTAATCTTTAGATAAAATGTGTTTTGCTAACATCTACATTGATCTTCTGGTTGATTATGCACTTAGCCTTCGGTTAAGCCAAAATGTTTATTCTTAATCCCACGAAGCGCTTCCACATACGGCCATATCACAGCTTTCTCCATCCGACAACCTTGGTTGTAGCTGCATCAGCTTTTAAAGAAACGCAATGACCCCCGGTGTTTGTTTACAGTAGGTTTGTGCAAATTGCCCGAATGATTTTTTGCAACGAATGTTTCTGCAACTGTTCTACCAGCATAGTAGCTGATAAGATCGGAGATTGATGGAAAGTTTCTTGATTCAAGCTAGTTTGAATTGGTCTTGTTTGAAAGAGGCTCGCATCCGATTTGTTTTGCCTGATGTGTTATCTCCGGCAGTTCAGGATTGCATTCAGTTTCTTTATATCGTCGATGCACCTTTGATTGCCAGTGCTATACGTTCTACAATTGGCTTAGGCGAAGCAAAGTCTCTTATAAAACTACCAGCAAATTCTTAAAGGATTTTGAAATTTGCATAATAATGAAATCTGCATGATACGTGTTTGTAAACTAGCTTTCGTAATTCATTTTGTTAGAGATCTTGATCTGTTCGGGTCGCTAAAGACATAACGATTCAGCGGGCACAACTCGTGTGCTTTCAAGCTTTTTGCCGTCTCGCCAACAAACACACCTAGACTGCGTTCTCTTCTCGCAGAACTGCGCAACGATTCGCTCATACGAGGATCTTGGCTTTCCACAGATCCTGGGCATAGGGCGACTGACAGAGCTTTCGTTTAATCCAAAGCTGCGTTACCACGCTACATTTACTTTGCATCTGTTGAGTTTCGCAAGCATCGAAATACTCTTTGACTGGCAATTTGGAACCGAAGGAAAACAAACGTGACGCAAATGTGGTGGTGTAGCATGTTTGAAGAGTTTTGAAAAACCTGTCTGGTCCGTGGTCGAAGCGTAAGGAGTTTTTTAACAATGGTGCGGAGTTCTCTGCCCACATTCTATGGATGTCGTTTCAAAAGCTGGAATAACCCAAGGTATGTAAAATTCATGCAATTTTCAAAAACTGACAACCCATAATGAACAGGTTTTTATTTATCTGGCAAGAAGATTCTTCAATCACTTAATACTGATTTTTCGCATTCCTATCATCACACAAAATGTTGATTAGAAAGCAAGTTGGAATACTGATTTCGAATCAGAAGAATTCAATCGCAGGAAGCAATTGCCGATTCGGTCCCTTTTCAATTCAAGGTTTTCTCCCACCACTTTACCTGACAATTTTTCGCCTAACCTGTACACAAAGTTTTTCTTTCTCAGCACTATTTGGGTTCCATTATATAATCTTTAGAAATTTTCAAATGTTTTGATCACCCACTTATCGCTTGAAAATATGATTTTAAGCTTTCTCTCACATTGTACTTGAGACCTGTCAGTATGTATCGAATGCACTAAATCGCACCCGTGCTCATTAATTTTTAACCATTTTGCAAGCCTAATTTTGTTCGTTTGTCATCCTGGCCCTGCCTATTATCTGGATGAACTGCCCTTCTAATTTCGTATTCTTTCTTCGCTATTTCCAGTCTTTAAGCATGGGTAAATTTTCAAATATACAAGGCCCCTTTTGAGCTAGGAACTTTTGGAAGTAAACAGCTCTATTGTTGCTCTACCAATTTCTAAACCTCAACTCGGACACGTAATGATTTGTCTCAGAACAATTTCCTGGCTGGAGTTGTAATTAGTTATGCTTGCCTGGCCTCTCGTTTGGTTGGTATTCAACACAACTGAAATAATAAAAGAGCTCCATTTTTTATCATCGAAGGACTCAAGCAAGTCTATATCTTGGAAAGACTCATGCATTGCGAATATGTATAAACATACTTAAATCAACCGGATTATGTTTTCAATAAAATTTGTTAATTTCTGTCAACTTTAATTCGAGGAACCAGCTGCAGTTCAGCTAGAAAGTACGGCAAAAGCAGTTTCAGATTCGATTCGACGTTTCATCCTCTTGCACATCATTCTCACATCTAAAAATCAGAATTTGACAAAAAAAATCCTGCTTTCCAACCGACTGAGATTTATGCAAGTTTTCAAAGAATGTGTTTGCTGCGTCGACAGTTTGAGTTGAACAAACAGCAGTTGATACCATTTGTGAATTCAAGAACACTGAAACAGCCAAGTTGTTTGTTTATGTTTGCAGGTAAAATATTTTGATTCTCTTCGTTTTCATCCTTACCGTAAAAGATACGTCCTTTCAAGAGAATTGTAACATCTGCAATTCAAAATCGTCAAAAGCAATACCCACTAGCGCCTTAATTTCTTGCCTACTATTTTTTGGTTTGCGCGATTAGTTTTCGCTCTTAGAATTATCCTGACGATGTTCACGTCGAATTCAGCCCTGTTTTATACGATTTCTCGGCCAATTCTCAACATCTCTTATTTCAACCAAAGCTAAAAAATCTTCCCGATCACAGAGCCAAATATTGCTTGATTTAGTCATGGATTGCTGTAATTTCTTTTGCCCCTTTTTAAATGTTTACTGCATTTTCACTGGACTGTTCTTGGACTGCATTTTCGTTTTGTCGTTTGCTCCATGTTACCGAGCCATGTCTATAGGTTATGTGTAACTATTACAAGTATAAAACTTTAGTAAAAAACCCGTTATTGAGTCATCGGCATCATGATTTCACTGTTGCAATATCCAAACATCATTCGTATAACGACCAATACAATTAGATTATGTTTTATTTTCCGTGTTATATCAGTTCAATTAGTGTGCATTTAACTTAATCCCCTATATTACCTGTAGATAATTTTTGCACTAGGAGTAATTAATGTTGAGACCTGCAAAAAGTCGATTTTCAAACACGCTCAATTTCAATTGATGTGTGCATATGCTCTAGGAGTTACAATTAATTAACCAGGTATAATCCATCTATTTGGCAATGTAGAATGCCTAATCTTGATTTCAGTTTTAATTTATGCGATTGATAACTCCATGAAGATTTTTTATAACTTCAAAATATCAAACTTTGATGTGAACATCGGGCTGAAGGCTATAACTTCGCAGATGAAACAGTCGGCTGGATATTACTGCGTATTACTTGAATGTTTGATTGATTGGCTTTTTAATAGAAGATTTTGTCAAGTCCTTGTCGAGTTTATTGATAGATGTTTCCGTCTTATATAAAACCTCCAAAAGTCTGCGATTTTTTTGCGTGTTTTAAAAGTTCTGCTTCAGAACCATCAAGATTATTGTATGTAGCCCCCTTATAAGTAATTTCTATATCTGTCTTAGTTTTGTTGCCCCTTGGTATGTTTCTGCTATTATTGTCATATATATATATATATCATTAAGAATTTTTCATGTAGTGGTGTGTGGAAAGTACCAAAATGTTGCTAGACAAGCGTCCATTTTTGCCTCTGGTGCTTATGAAATGATGGAAGAATTCTGCTAAGTTAAGATTCGGCCTTTTATCAGAGTTTGTACATCTTTCCCAGATTTATCACAGCTGAAATGGAGATCACCTTCCGGTAGAAAAACGTAACTCAAGCTATTTCACAGTTGACATGATGTGTAAACCTGATAGCCCCCTTGCAGTTGCTAGTAAAATACATCGACTTGCTCATAACATTTTTAAAGCCTCCCTTCTCAGCATATGTCTTTTACTTAATCTCTTATCTACAAACTTTATTCCTGTCATGAAGTTTTTCTAAGGACCTCCAACCTTTTGAGTGGGGACAGAGACTCGTACTACATGCTTGCAGCTACTCAAAGATGAAAACCATCGCTGGTTGGTCGTATCTTTGAATCTGTCTAGCACCTGTTAAACTCTGGGCTCTGCGATTTCCTTTTAAAAGTCCCCATTGCTTGGTAACATCTTTTCTAAAGCTCCCTCTGTTTAATTTAGCATTTATCTGCATCTATTTCCTTTAGGATTATATGTAGAGTAAACTCCCGATAAGTCGAGCCTCCAAGGGACCAATGTGGGTCCAATGTAGGTCCAATGTAATGGTTTGAGTTATTGGGGGGGGGGGTTATATGAACGTATTTAGCAAGGGGAATGCAATATCATTTCAACTTTGCGAACGTTCGAGTTTTCGGAGGTTCGAGTTATCGGGATTTTACTGATATCTCTCGGATCTCCTCGATTTGTTATGTTCCCTATCAAAACATTAAATATATATTAGAAATTCATATGGATACGTTTCAATAACCATATTATTTTTCTACAGCAGCTGCATAAAGTCGAGAAAAGACCTAAAGAGCTACTTCGGATCACAGGAAAATAAAACAGCGAATGGATTTTCATTGTTGTTTTAAAAATCAAACTGCGCAATGTATTTGTGACCGTTTCAAATCATCTTCTATGTGATTGGAAAGCACTTTTCTCTAATTTCAGTGCTCGTGAAATAGACTTTGACGAGGTAAAAACAGAGACTACGTTTGATCAATATTCGGAGGTTTTGGTGTCAGCAAGATGGCTGCCACAAACACTAGAGGGCTATTTTTACGTGCTCAGCGTCATATTATGGATAGAGAGTTGTCAAAAGACGAAAACGAAGAAGAACCAAGTCAACCTTACAGTTCTGCTGATGAATCGAAGGAAAGCTTGCTTCTACAGAATTTCGGTATGAAATACGGACATGCATTTAAAGTCAAACCTAAAAAGACTGAGCCTGAGCAAAAAAATGGTAATACAGAACTTCCTCAAAGAAAAGTATCACCGGAAATTGAGACAAATAAACCGGCTCAGGTAACAGTAAATCCAGCTTTTAAGAACGTCGCTCTTGATAGATTTCGTAGAGCTGGTATGAAAGCCCGGCTTGTTCGCCGTGTTAATAAAATTGTAGAGGACAGGCTGACTGCTAAGCAGATATTTGCAAGATTTACGAAAGAGTCGACGCTTCATGGCTTCCGATTCATTTTTACAAAAACATTCTATATACGCCGTTTTATATGGTTTGTAATCACAATAACGATGGCAGCCATGTTTCTTAAGGAGCTTACAGACAGCATCAACCTGTATTTCCAGCATCCATTTTCTACAACATCAACAATTGAATACGTGAATCGTCTGACTTTCCCAGCAATTAGTTTCTGTAATCTTAACGATTTTCGCTTCTCAAAAATCAACGGCTCCGATTTGCAGGATGTGTTCATGCATGAGAAGGGAAAATTTTACTTGCATCGAAACAGTAGCTTTGATTTAGATGGAAAGAAACTTGGGGAACGACTTGAAGATGCGTCACATCGCATCACAGACATGTTCATGAAGTGTGTTTGGCTATTCAGTCAGACTGCAGCTGGTCAACCCGTGCCATGCAACTATACCAATATCACAACATACTATGGCCTGAATGGTCAGACTTGCTACACATTTAATCCGGGTGACAGAGGACATAGGCTGCTCACGTTAAACGAAACTGGATTGTTTCATGCGTTTGAGCTACAACTGGATCTTGAAACGCATGAGTATTTGAAGGATATCCAGGAGGGTGGAGTTCGTGTTCATATTCATGACCAAAATGAAACTCCATTCAGCTCAGCTGGTTTTGCTGTGCCCCCTGGTTTCAAGACGTTTGTGTCTCTCAACGTCCAAAAGGTGAGTGATGTTGTTTTTGTTGTTGCTGCTGTTTTGTTGTGGTTTTTTGTTGTCGTTGTTGTTTCTTATGCTCTGGCAGCCGATCCATGTTCAAAGTTCTCTCAGCTGCATTTTCTTTACGGCCATTAAATCAAGTTAGCTTTTTCTCAACTTTAGCGTTTTCTCCGACTGATTCTTAGTTTCACTTATTGAACCGTGGCTTCACTTTCCTACAGTCCTCTCTTAACATAGTAAGAGGCCTGACGTCACTAATTTGGTTCAAATACAAACTGTGTACTGTTTCAAATATTTTTATAGTTCTGAATATCTTTTGTCTAAACATATTTTGAATGGCGAAAACCTACTTCCATTACTGAAAACCGTCTGCAAAATGGGTTTTCTTCAGGTTCTGATGGCAGATTTGTCCAAATCAGACGGATATGTCCTTACAATAGATTAAACTTTGTAAAAAATTTTCTTGTCATATGACATGATATGTCCGACTACTGATTGTTTGGACATACCTGCTCATTCGTGACATTGATCTACTGTCTATGGACGCTCCTGAATATAGCTTACATACGCCATCTGTTCGATCCCTGCGGAAAACCATGCATTTTGCATAAATGCTTTTTCAAGCTTTTTTCTTGTCAAAACACGATTTGTGCGTTTGCCAGGATATTCTACAAGTAGAAAGTGCATGAAATGAACTTAATTGCATCGTATTTTTCGACGCCCATACTAGGCAAATTGTGCTTTATTTTGATAAATAATTCATATTGATGGTTTTAGATCGCCAAACTCCACGAGCAATATTTACTTGCAGAACGCGTGGGTCACATTTCCTCGAGGATGTCATTGTTGGATACCTAAGCTAAAACACGACCCTGTTTGTTGTTATGGAGATTTGCTTTACGTGAAGCTTCTTTACTGTTAGCCGAGTGATAAAGAGATAATAAGGAACCTGTAAAATGAGTCTCTGTGGTAAACATGTTATTAAAAAGATCTTCATGGTCCTGACTTTTACTCTTTCTGCAAGATTCGCAACGCTTTCTTGCTAACGTTCTTTTCATGAAGTTCTTCTCGAGCCATGTAATTCAAACTATCATTTTTTCTCATTTTCCGCTGACACTACCGACGAAATCGTTTTTAACATCACTTCGCCAATTCAATAGCTGTGAAAATCTATATTGTGTTTCAACCATATCTGAGTTGTTAGTTGGAATAATGCTTGTCCTGATCGTAACCTATTTGCTAATCTGATTTGCTTGGCAGGGCGAAATCCTCACTTGTCCTTCTTATTTGATATTGACAAGGAAATTTAATATGATGTGTCAGCTTTGTCGTTTATCCCAGTTACATATTCCTTTTATGATATCAAAAGCTATCCTCCTTCACAGGTTATCTGGGTATAGGTAAGCTAGACCTATATCAATAAGTCATAGTTCAACATTTTGATAAGGAGGCAAACATTAAGACATCTATTCAGATACTGCGGTTCTTTAGTGTATCTTTAGGAGCTTATATCTGTTTTGAATTTGCTCTCAAAGCAGCTTTTGGGACTCTAAAATCTCCACTTGAGGGTTCGATAAACCATCTTACTAACCATCAACTGAGCCCGTCAGATGTTATTTCAACAGACAGAAGTCAGCAAAAAAAACATTTTTCAAAATCCTATGACAAATTGTATTGGTAGATGTTTCTTTTGGTTGTTTTTGGTTTTCTTTGAGTTTGCTTTGCCGATATAAGATGTATCTTTGTATTTCAAAGCACATTTCTTTAATTGCTTATGAATATTGAAACAAATTTCTATTTAGATATGTCACTGTTATTGAATATTTAACAATTTGCACATCCCACAAGCGAATGTGTGATCGAAGATTATCGCAGTGCATGATCTGTAGTATTTGTTTGAATCAATATTTGAAGTTTCATAACAAGGAAACTATAGAAAAAGCATCCACAACCAATTTCTCAAGTTTCTTCTTTATGTTAATCACAATAAGCAATGCAAGCAGAGCTTGAGCATGCTAACCACGTTTGAAAAGCATGGGACTCAAGACACAGCCTTTAGAAGCAACTCTAGCTGACATAAGTGTGTTGTAACAATCAATTGAAATTTGTAGTCTTTTTTTAGCAATGAAATGCAACGTAAATGTCAATAGCTATCCCACAAATTAATAATTTTGTTCTCAATGTCTTTTTCAATATTGAGCTTGCTTTGTCAAGCTTCATGATTCCATCATATAAAACGCTCGTTGCCTCATCTATGTACATAGCTGCCTTGAGTTAATCCAAGGACTTTATGTATGATAAATTGCACAAGAAAAGTTAGGATATCTGTATGCCATATTTTTCACTGACCTCAGTAACTAACAAAGGCAGCCCATGGGTATTTACCCTGTGTAAACAATTCATTACTTTCTTTCACTAAGAATCATGATTCCCTATGTTACACAATTTAACTGCATAAGCTTAAACAAACTGATTCAGGTCTTGCATTAATTTCTACTAAAAGATTTCATCCCTCTACGCGAAATTCATAGTTACCAGCATAAGCTTACTTAGTTATCAATAGATCTGTATAGAATGGATTTGATAAGTGTTGAAAGCACCGAACGCACACGCGCTAAGAGTTATTCGGTTTGTGTACACAGTGTTGAATGGTTTTCTTGTAAATTTCAAAGTCTAGAGTCCACATTAATAAAAAGTTTTAGAGATTTATATAAGTTTTTTTATAGATTGCCAATTCATGATCTCGGATCAAATAATAATTAAATCAAATTGTTCATTATTTGATATCTTCATTAAGGAGGCTTTTTGTTCACGCTGCAAGTTTATTCTTCCTGCTTTAAATCTTGTTTTCTTGCGAAATTGTCTTACACAATAGGAACAGTAGGGCTATATCACTTTGTAGAAGTTTTGTTTACTTTGAAATCTATAGAAAGACATTACTCAGTGAATGAGAGTCTGAGATCTTCCTCAAGATGAACAATTAGTTTCTTTATAGCTCTGGCTCAGATTTATGGAAATGCTGTAAAACAATAAACACGAGAATCACCTGCCACCATGAAAACAACACAAGCAAGTGTCTCCTGCAAAAGATACCTGTTCGTTAGAAATTTTCAACAAATCTCAGCAGGATAAGATCGAACAGATTTTTACGATACGATAATGAGTGAAAAGTGATTGGTCTTGGCTTAAGATGATGGACGGCAAAAATTCTTTGTATCTGTGTTGCTGTTTATGTAGTTGCTGTTGTCTCGTCTGACGTGTGGTAAATCTTTGTTGTTGCTGTTGTAGGGTGGCTCGTTGTGTCTTGTGCAATTTTCAAAGAGATTTCCTTAAGATGTGTTTTCGCATGTGCTTATGGTTGTTTTTCCTAGCACACCAGTGGTATAGGAAAATTATAAGAACCTCTTTCTTAATCAGTTTGTTGTCCGCATTCTGAGGATTGACTCTTTCTGCAAAACTTTCTGTTAGGGTCAATACGGATTTCGTGGAATGCCTGACTGCTAATGTTAAGAAGATCTAGTTATTGTCACATACCTTTAGAATATCGACAATTAAAGTTGTTGGGTTCAAGATAAACACAAGCTTAAGCTGGAAAGAGCAAAATTTTGTTCGCTGTGCACCTTTGATAGAAAGCTACATACTTCAATAATGGGATAGAAAAGCTAACAATAATTCTCCCTCTTGATAAATAGCTTACTCGGTCGGGAAGTGAATTCCATCAACAGACCCCGCTACCTAACTTCCTATTCAAAAACAGAAGACAACAGTAGGCACCCAGTGATACTGCTAACAACAGGAGCAAGCTATTAGTAACAGCAACAATGAGGCCCAATGCTATTTGTGTTATGCCTCCCTGCTACCACTTTATTTTCGTTTATTTTGAATTCCTGCTTGTCGGTGATCGGATTGCCTAAATTTCTAGAAAATCTCTCATTGGAGATAATACCCTCTTTTCTGTGCTTGAGAGTTTGATCCCCGGAAACTCCGACAGAGCTAGATCAGAATCAGATTGAAATGATCAGTTATTTTATTGCTATTAGCAAGATTATTTCTCAGATGCAGCAGGTCAGTTTTAAAGAAGAGTGATGCGCTGTAAGAATATAACTGGCTCTGTGCTATGCAATGGGCGTGCTTATCAGTCTGAAATACCTTGACGAACAATCAATTTTTCTATATATGATTAACCACGCTTCCTTTAGGCATGCCAGTTGGTTATTGAAAAATTGATGTCAAATTCAAATAAATAAGTGATTGGAAGTTATGAAATAAGAAGGAGTAGTCCAACGCAAAAGAAGTAGGTCTTCTAATAAGCAAAAAGTTGAGGGATTTTAACACATCCTTATTGCAAAAAATGTTTTATTAATTACGCAGGGATATTTTGGTGTCTCTCCACTACGAAGAATATGGCAATTGCTTTTAGACAAATGATGCCATATCTTGTATTTATGTTACTTATCCCATAACTAGTAATTATCTAAAGGAATCATTGAAAAGATGCCACGATTCCAAAAATCAATGGGTTAACTCAATGATGCACAGAGTCTGGGCCGCATTCACAAAGACTAATTTCAGGTCACCGAACTAGCAACTTTAAAGGTAATATCAAAAACCCATTGTTTGTTCTTCGTAAAAAAACTCCCAAAATTTTAAGTGATTGAAATGAAATCCAGTTTGGTAATCACACGTAATACTGGAGAGTCCGCAATAGGTTTTCTTTGTGAGACAGGTGGAGTTTTGTGCAAAAGCATGAAGCGATTAGGGCGATGGATGCCTAGAATTGTTGTTAACGAACTTCAAAACCTTGATTTATGCCGCGAAAATGCTTAGACCTATATTTAGAAGGGATTTAATTTGTCTTTCAGTATGAATAATTAAACTGTTTGGAAGGATTTTAACCTTCGAACCATTTACCAACGGCTACCAATTGATTTTCTCTCGGACAACCCTCATAAGTTAGATCTATTTTGGTATTCCCTTTCTCATTTTAGATTTTGTATGAAATTTAAAAGTTTTGTCTAAATATATCATGGTTTAAACCGTCTTTGTTCTTGAAAGTCCTCATAAAGGAATATGCTGTTATAGTACATCGTTATAAGAAAGTTGAGGCGCTTGATTTGCGTGAACAATCGCAGCAGTTGCCTTCATTTGAGTAGGCTAAGCTTTTGTTATCATCTTCATGGCAAAGCTATGGCTGCTGCTAAGCAACTGTCCTTGCTTATTTTCGCAAAGCAAAGAAACAGCCTTTTTGTTCCAACGCACTGCTCTCAAATGATAGTAGATTGAAAAAGAGATTTCTAATAATTTTCTCTTGGTGGCTGTGCCTTATCTAAGAATGCTGCTTTTTCGACAATTAAATCTGAATGTCACTGTTAGATCTTTTCTAATGTCACGTGTCTGCAGCTTTAAGAAATTGAGCAATTCTTTTGAATATAACATACACTAGGCCAGTTAAACTTGGTATATAATTATCAATTAATTTATTTCTCATTCTTTTTTAACTAGATCGAAAACTTGCCACCGCCATACACAACTCAATGTGGATCGAAGAAACTGAAGTATTACTCCAGCTACAAAAAGTCCAAATGCTATCTAGAAGAATTGTCAAAATTTGTCACCAAGAAATGCAAATGCAGAGGACGCTTTATGCCAGGTATTTGTCTTTCTTTCGTGCCTTTTCTTATATACGCTGAAGTAGTTTGCTCATGGGAAAATGCTGTTTTATTCCTGTTTCCTAGTCTATATACTAATTACAATGAGGATAAACAAAGCATATTATCACGTGGTAACACTCACTTACACGTGATTTTGACTTCCACTTGATTTTGACTTTCATGTGATTCATAAAGCATATTATCACGTGGTAACACTCACTTCCACGTGATTTTGACTTCCATGTGATTTTGACTTTCATGTGATTTTGAATTCCACGTGACTTTGACTTCCACGTGATTCTGACCTCAACGTGATTTGACTTCCACAAGATTTTGGACCAAATACAGTTAATTTACTTCTCGGGAATGAAATACAAATGCAATATAGAGGCTACGTTCCTACATCATCGAGAGCGAGTTGGGCCGTTGGTGCATCGGCGCCAATCGCTCAACCTACCATATAGGGGTTACTAAGGGAAGTTACACAATAAACCCCAATTATGATTGATAACTGGGAGGGAATGGACAGGAAAAGCCTCTTTACCCCACTTATAGCCGATGCACTAGTCCTACCTAAAAGCATCAGAAAACGCTAAAAAGCATAAAAGATGCCTAAAGGTATGAGAGGTTTTAAAGATTCCATAAAAGAAACTCAACACGCAAAGTTATACTGAAAAGGCATTTTGCATAAAGAAACAAAATGAGAGAGGGAGGGTTGGGAAAATAAAACAGCCTACTTGTATTGTGGCTTCACCAAGCAAGATGAGAGCCACGCTATGCCAAAACCTTAAATATCCCTGGATTAACCAAGGGAATAGAAACGCCACGAAACACACATCTAACCCTAGTGATTGACAGTGTCACTTTCCTACATCTATCTCTCGATGGGCAACGTTTGCTACACATTTCACTTTCTGGACACTCATAACTCGATGAAAAATGTACAGCAAAAGTGGCTAAACCAAGCATGGATTATGCTACGTCATAAGCAGTCATTCATTCTTTTTCAACCTTCCGTCTCCACGACTGCTCGTTATAATGTAGTCGTTAAACGACCCTCATGAAAAGCACTCTCGATTGATCGAGGCTTCTTCTTTTAATAACTGTATTATTATTGCTGTTATTATCATTTTACTGTAGTAATATATTTCAGATACTTCACTGTTGCTTGAAACGATACTGACTGGGCTTGCAGTTCGTTAAGGCCCGGCTTTTTAAATGAAATAAAATGGCTAATTTTCTGTTTCTGTGAGCGTTCCAGAAAAAAGACACAACTAGCCGTTTGTATTTCATCCTAAGTTAGAAACCTTATCGCATCCTCTCGCTCTTTAAAAACATTTTCTGTGTTTCTGCAATGAAACAAATTTTTCTCTGCTGTGCACAATCATAAGGCACATGTGCATGTCATTCCGAGGCAAGATTAACAGGCAGGTACATTGTGCAATGGCAGAAATATGAACCATAGAAAAGCTGTGATTGTGCAAAACAAGGAATTTCCGTCTCTTAGTTCTTTCAGGCACATTTCTGTTAGGGAGAGTCGTTCTTTGGCTCTAATATATTTGTTAAATCCCGGGGTCTACTTTCTCTAGCTATTTGTGTAGATGTATGGATTTGAGATTTAGAATATTTTTTAAATCTCGGGGTACTATTGTTGTTAGTTTCTGTACTGCTAGAGCCATATTCCTATCAGCATAGCAAGTGCACATCTACTTCAACTAAGCACCACCATTCAGTGAAGAGTTTGTCGAAGTAATGATAGTGGTTTTCGTATTACTTTAGGAGGCTCGGGTGATGGCTTTTAATTCAGGCAGCTTAAAAGTCGTATGCATCCCGAAATGTCGTTGTTGAGTTCTATGTATGATCTCGCGCAGATGTTTGTGCTTGAGCTTGATCAATCAGGCAATGTTTGGTCACCGAGATCAGGAAATACAATGAATTTAAGCCATTTAACAAAGTTTTCCTTAACATAATTAGCGACCACTGCTAGTGGATCTTCGTGCTTTCAAACTTGTGGGAGGATATTTTTATATTCTGCAGAGCTGATGCATGTTTTGACTAATGGAGTTTGTTTGTAAATTGTATTGCTAAGAGACTGTAAAGGTTTGAACAGTGCTCTTGTATGTTGTTTCGCAATTCACGTTTTTTATGCCGACGCAATCCAAGAGCCTTAATTATTGCTGGGTGCAACTGTGAAATTAGTAGCGTCAAATTTAAATTATATACGACTTTGTACAGTGATTCAACATATTTTCTTCGTTTTCTTTGGAGATTTCGCCCCGACAAAAATTTTTATTATACCAAACACCACTAGCAATATATCAGTTTCATAAAGCAGCCAGATTTTTATAAGTATTGTTCTGATTTGTTTTCGAATCAGATGTACCTTGAAATTCTCGTTTTGCAGAAGTAAATATTCCAATCGCTTTTCAGCTTTATGTTGATGACGTTATACCGACGTGAGCTTTTTCTGTTAACAACTCGTTATCTTCAAATACCTTAAAAGCAAATAACTTTATATCTGTTAATTGTTGTTAAGTGTATCATATTTTTGTTTATCTTGGAGACAAAATTTCATTAATTCAAGTTCGGAGGTTGATAAAAAACAAACTTTTTTCTGGTCTAGATAATTCATTAAATGAAAGATGCACTCCATCGTTCATGTATTTGTATCAAGAGAAATTTAATCATCAGTGAAGCTTTTTTATGAAACAGGACCTTATCGCAATTCAAAGCCATCGCCCTTTTTGATAGTTAACACATACGTAAGGATGCCTTGTCTTAATTGGTCATGGTTGAAAGGTTGCGCTACATTACAGTATCATTGGAAATTTAACATATAGTACAAAAAGGAAGTAAGATTTGCTAAACGATAATCCTGGAATCCTATAAAAACATTTATTTTCAGCATGATTCATACGATATAGATAAGATTAATATTCGATATATCATACATGTTTGAAAGTGTTTGTGGTAGAATTTTATCGTAAGATTTTTAATCGAGAGTTGAATTTGTTTCTTTTAGATGCTTCTTATCCGCTCTGTTCTCTCAAGCAAACGGTTGAATGCCTTCGACCCACTATTCGTAAGTATAACTTAGAAATATTACTTCTTTTTTTTTAAAGGTCAAAGTACGATCACTCTAATTAGATCATTGTAAGGAACTCAGATATTGTCTTGAAATGAAATTCCTAGATTTTATAGACCGAAGGAGTTTGATTTCGTATATGTAGATGTAAATATATAAGTTTCCAATATAAATGGAGATGTAAAAGGAGATGTTGATGAATATTTGGCCAGAGAAACAAGGACGTGCGTTCCATTCTTATTCTAGCGTGATTTTCATGATCCACACCTGCATATAAATATCTGTTTAATATTTGGTTTTTTTTGAACAAATGTTCTCTAAGACCTGCAACAATATAAATTGTTTTCAGTCCCCTTTGACTTTTACCGCCTCTTGTGCAGATGATTAGAAGAAACTGTTGTTCGCTTTCGAGCAGAATGGAAGGAGTTTTTATCAACTGGTTCACGGTTTATAGGCAGTTTGAGGGTCGAAATTATGACATGAACGAAAGCTTAATGTTTGAAAGAGCAGAAGCAAGAAATAAATCAATTATTCTCTAGTATCTCGGGATTGCATTGCAAAGAAACAGTAGTAGGCTAGATATAAAGAGATACGGACAACGGAACACCATGCTTTGTTATGCTACTTGTGCCAGACTATGCCAAGTCTGTTCAGCATAGTTGGCCCTAGGATAGGGAACTGCTGGACTAGAATCTTAAGCTGCCATCCTTTTGGTAGAAAAACTTTCTTTCAAGATTTTTCGTCACTGAGATTTGCTGAAGATTTTAATTTTAGATGACTTTACTTTAAGAAGTGTGACGTAACGACAAGTTCTGGAATCTTTCAAAATCTAACTCGCAGCATGTGCGGTGATACTATTTCTCAAGCTGTTGGTTTCGGGTCACGACAGCATATCCTAGTATCTACCTAATGTAGTGTAAATTAATTTGAAGCGGAAAAGCTGATTCCATTGAGTAAATCAATTTTTATACATTAATTTTAAGAGTCAAAATCTTCCAAATTAGCTCGATATCAATTTGAGGTTAGCCCATGTGACAGCTGGTTTTCATATTATATGCGTGGGAGGCGATGACATTATTTGACCTCCATTCCGTTTGAGCCTCTATTTTCAAAATCTTCACCCATTTTTAAAGCACCTAAAGCGAATCGTCCCAAGCACACAGTACCAAAAACCTCATAGCCAACTTTCAGGTGCTTGTTGCTTAAATATGATTAAAAAAACAACGAGAGGTGCTTAAAAAGCTATCTTTTGAAAAGCTTAGATAATAGATGCCAAATTTTAGAAGTTGCAATTAAAATCAAGCTGGTTGTCGTAGCCAACCTGGGTTAGCGTCTTCTACTGGAAGAGAATAAGTCTACCAAGAAAACAATTTAGAAGCCTTATCTCTTCTGCTCTTGGTCAATGTCGGTTGACGAACATTCTTTCTTTTTTATTGCGTAAAAATCAATTGGATAAAAGTGACAAGCATTTTTGATGGGGCAGAAAGCATTGCAACTGAAAACAGATCCAGTTGATATTTAATTGTTAATGCATCCAATGCGAGTAATCAATGCAACCACATGTCCCTTTTAGGTACATTTGATCACAGAGCTGGAGGCGCCTGCCCAGAGGACTGCCTTTCTACACAGTATAATGCACAGCTGTCTTATGCTCGATATGTTTCGAGACCTCCTATTGGAACTTCTGGAATCACTATACCAGAGAGATTTCAGAAGGCAAACCTAACTAATAGTCAACTAGAAGCTGTTATTCGGTATGTGTGCTATCCATGCTGTCTGTTGCAATCGTATTGCCATTTTGCAGAATAAGGATAAATATTCTTATCCTGCACCATGTTTTTGGGGGCTGACCAAGTAAAAGTCCTCTAAAGAGTGATCCATTTCTCCGTCTCTTCCGTATGAAGCGCATGCCAATTGAAATCGATAACTAATGCGCATGCGTTTGGTGGAAAGGATGGATTATTCTTAGAAGATGCGTTTGCCTTTCCCAAACAAATGAAGAGGGAGTGAATTTGGAATCGTACATTTTGACAATTGTTTGATAAATTCAAAACAGGTTATTTTGAAAAGAAAAATCCTACATGATGTTATTTTACCATTTCCATCTGACTATTTACTACAAGTTGTGTATTAAAAACATATGTAGAATCGTCAATGAAAATTGATCCCTAGAATCAAAACGAAAATACGATTACTAAAGTATTTGAGATTGTAATATTTGTTTCAGGGACAACATTGTGTACCTCATATTCTTCTTTCCCGAGTTACGAGTGGAAAATGTTAAGCAAACAGTAACATATGACTTTTATAAATTAGTTGGTAAGTATACCGTGAGTTACTAATGTTGAATATCATCTCAATTTACTCTGTTTCCTCACGTTTGAACGAGCCTTTATCATGAACAACTATCACTTCGTTTTTTAAACCAAATCTGTTACTTTCTCTACATTAAAGGAAATTTGAAAATGAGTCCAACAGCCTTCCCTTCCCTCTCGTAATAATTCTCTTTATAAATACAGCTTGCATGATGGTTTTTAAAACGTCTTGTCATAAAGGCTTGAACTCTTTTCACAATTGATTACTTAAAAAATCTGGCTTCGAACAAATGCATGTATGAATAGCAAGCTTTATTTCAAAGAATAAAAGTAGTCGGTTATGGTATCCACTTAGTGTTCTTACCTTTTTGTATTTACCAAAACTTTCATTTGTTTTAGGTGATGTCGGGGGACAACTGGGCCTGATGCTTGGTGCCAGTGTGCTGACGCTCGTAGAATTCATCGATTTGATTGCATTTATAATTTATCATCAAATCCTCCGCCTGACGAGGTTGAAGAAAAAAAAGAAAGAGGAAACAGAACAACTAAAGTTGAGAGAAATGAATGGAAACGGTGCTCGCGAAGGGCGGTTTATCAATTTTTGAAATTCCGATTGTCGGTGTGGCAAGGGAATGCTGTTGAAGGGAAATGTCTCCTCGCCTTTTTATAATTAAATGAGATTGCGAAGGGTTGAAAAGAAATTTCACCTGTAAGCCTTCTCTTAGCTAATTCTGTACGTCATAATTCATTTTGAGAAAGAATTTTACGAAGAAAGGATGTGCAAAGCATGACGTCATGTCGACTAGACATTGCTTGTAAACAAAATTTGGATTTCAGTTCAAAGATGAAGCTGTTTTCGAAATAAATGGAGGTTTTTCTGCACTAAGCGATGCTTGTTTGGATGCTAAAGAAAAAACGTGCAGAGATAACTTGACTGAAAGAGCATCCTTATTCAGAAGCTTGGAAAATTTTGAAAAATATTTTTCAAAATGACGTCACATTCTATGATTTTCACGAACAGCTGGAGGAGTTGCCAAAACTCGAGAACTATTTTAGATTAGAATAAACAAAGTCAATAGACTTTCGGACTCTGCAACTTTTTGCTGTGGGCAGGGTCTGGTTGTGTAGCAGGTTATATTTGTAGATGATGCATTTAAGCATAGGAGCTTGCTATAGAAAAGCTTCGACTGACTGGGTTTTTAGTCAGTACCTTTTCTTCATCTCTAGGGTCATGTTGTCACTATGTTAATAGGTTGACCGAGTAGAAGAATTCTGTTAGTATCTCTGTCTAATGGAAGAAACGACAACAAAAGCATACGTCAGCGGACAAATGCTAAGATTTGGAACCCCTTACGTCAAGCAATTTCTTAAAGTGACAACTATTAACCCCTCGACAAGAAAAACCCACTATTGGCTTGAATTTTTTAGATAATTTTGCTTGATTTTTTATTGTGTAAGAGCACTGAATTATGTCGAGGTTTTGCGAGTATCTGAGTGTGATGTATAGAAAAATAAAATGTTACTTATGCAATAAAAACTAGTGAAAAGTTTTTTGAAATTGAGCTCAGTCTGTAAATGTTACAAGTATGTGATCTAGGTCTTCTCATTTTTTATTTATTAGATGATTTTTTTTCTTATTGAGAACTCTCATACTGTTATCTTGTCTCGAGTACTCTCAGTTGATCTGTTAGTCCAGAGGTAGGTGGGGGCTCGGGGGGATACCTTAACATGTTTAAAGGTACGGAGATGTGCCATTATTTAGTGGTACCTTTTGATGAAAAGTGCTGAATTATCGGTATCAGTTTTTGAAATTTGTGCGGAACTATGGGTACCATTTGAAGAAACATGCAGAATTTTAGGGTCAAATTTTTTCAGACATTTGCGGAATTATGGGTCCAAAATTTTAACCCAAATGGTACGTCCCCATCCAAAATTAGGCACAGTTTACCCCCCGAGGGTGGGGATTTGGATCCATCGCACTTTCACCGATCAAGCGCGGTAGACCACAGAAGAATAACACACGCCAAAACCAATCCTTTGTCTTCAAAATATCTTTAAAAATTTAGCCTAGTTACTTTTTAAGCAAAGCAATACCCTTGGTGGTATACCGCTTTTGTTCTAGCTACACAGGGTATGTTTAAAGTTGCTTTTAACTTCAATACCTTATTTTGCTATTCAATCGGTCTTTTCAAGAGAACAAAGAGCTTTTCCCCCAAGAAATATCGCTTGGTATTCCTTGGAAGTTAATTTTGCGAAATGGAGGCCAAGAGGGTTAGCAATATTTGGCAAAGCAGATTAGTTGTTGAGCTTATTTACATGATGCAGATGAAAACTAAGAATGTAAAGAAGGAGCCTGCATAAATTGTTGTTTGGTCAGTGCTGATGTATTGATGTGAAGATCACAGAAAAGAAGCGAAAAGACGGGTAAAGGCGGCAGAGATGGGGGTATGTCGAAATTTCTGCATTGTCGAAATTCTTGAAGAACTCAGAACGAAGTCCGGTTTGAGAAAAAAACGAAGCGAGAGTTTTTAGAGAGTGTCGAGAAGAGGAAAGTCACTTGCTTTGGAGGAGGATCTTTCTCTCTCTAAATCTATTGTCCTTGCAGGACGTTGATTGTCATTGACCTTCACAACTCCCTTTCTCCAAATGATCTCAGAGCAAGTTTCGCTGGACACATCCATCCTTGAAAACAACCACTCCTGTCAAAGCCAAAGCGTGGTCTTCCTCTGCTTTGCTTTCCTTTGATTTTGCTCAATGTTGTCGATGATTTAGATAAGGATATCTTTCCAAATATTCTCAAGCCCAAGTTTCTAGAAGCTCAGAAAATGAAGAAGAAGAGCATATATCAGATAGAAAACATCAAGAGGTGAACAACTATGAGACAGGACACGTACCTTGGGACAAAGGAGCGAAATCTCACTTAATTCAAAGCTGATTGATGAGGCCGATTGTGATTACGAGAGAAAATCAGGATATGAGTGATGAAGAAAAGTGGATATCGAAGACAACGTCCTTCGTCAACATCAACATTTGTGAGTAAGAATACATAAAACACATTTGCTTCATGTGTTGCTGATAAGACGGTTGTATTCTTGATAATTGCCTAATCATGAATTCAAATTGTTGACAGTGTAAGCATAGATCCACAGCAACCTGCTACTCCTAGTAAATCCCAATGCGATGGTAGTACAGTGGCCCCTCGTTTCTCTGAACCCTTTAAAATCCGAACAGCGTCTCTCCGAACAACATTTTAGGTGAGATGCTTTATACTTGAAGTTCAAGTCTTGAACATATTTATATTTAACAACAGACTTATCAAATCTTTCCAATTAAATTGGAGTCTTAAAATGAACTTTCTTGATATCTCTTTTAATGGAGCTATAGTGAGATGATCTGAGCAGCACGCACCGCTCAATCTTTTATGCCATTTTACTGGTAACTGAAATAGTATTTGTGACTGTTTTTCATATTTTGTGAATGATTTTTCCTGACCAAAATCTTATCCTTGATTATCCGAACATTCCGTTAATCCGAACGTCTCTTATCGCATTATATTAATAGATGTTCGGATAAACGAGCACGCAATGCATTGTTTAATTATCTTAGGGATCTGGTAACTGCAGTAAACTCGCACATGTCGGATGTTTCGTACCTTGGAGGCTTTAGGCACTATTGTTTGTGGAAAGACCAATTAAGGTGATAATCATTTCAAGCCAAATGTGCTGCAATATGTTTTCTCTGTAGGGCCCTAAAGATGCACAGTTCATTTTTGATAGCAAGACAAAAGGTCAATCGCTAGTCCAATTACATCCTAGTGGTGTTCACAGCAATGGGAACAGAACCTAACAGCTTCTAAGAAAAGGCAACTGATTCAATGAATATACATAGCATTCAGAAGATCGTAAATAAAGCCTTGCCGATTCAAATCAGGCAAATGCTCTTGATATCACCAGTGAACACAAACATGCTCAAATTAAGCAAGTGAACAATGAAAGGAGGGATTTTCTTTTTGACTATCGACGATGTTTGCCTCAGATACGTCCGTGCTTGCTTCTCTTTTAAACTTGGTCCCAACTACAATGCCTGCCAAAAGTCTTGGAACACTGACATCAATTTACAAGGTCAAAATCCCCCTCTCCCCTACCGGACAATGTTGGTTTACTATCAAACGGGTTAGGATTTTAGGAAGCACTTTCTTTTGCGCTTCTTTTATATGATATTTCTCTAATTCATCAACATTGTTTTAGGGGGAAGGGGGCGGAAGTAGCAATTTTTTTTTCATGAAAGGAATGAAAGATATCAAATTCAGCGTAAATTGCTGGGTGTTCCAAGTACTTTTGGCAGGCATTGTAGCAACAGAATAACAAGCTCGTACACTTGCTATCGTCGGTTGAATGTCCTTGTCTATTTTCTTTTGCTCGTGCGCATGCTTATGTCAAGCCCGTCTTTACTGTTCTTGTGCCTGTATCGCTAGTACGGTCAAGCATTAAGGGGGCTAACGGATGTGTCCAGTGTCCTGGATGTGCAAGAAAAACATAGTTTTCCATGGAAATTATGAAATATTACACTCCATAAACTCTCCTTATGAATTGAACTGTTACCAGATACATATATTTGTAGATGTTGCGATTGCCACGTAAATATCTCCTTAAAGACAGTGGTAGTCAAAGTTAAGTTTAAAATCAGCCTAATTTACGTCATCGAAAATGTCTTGGTGTCGTATGAATGTGAAATTTGAATCAGGAGTGAGAGAATGGAAAGTGTGTAGCAGGCTTTATAAAATTGACTTAGGTTGAACCTGCAACTTATCAACAGCCAAATGTAAATACGTTTTAAATGTAAAAAATCTCCAATTCTCTGAAATCTTCGATTCATAATCAATAAGAAATGTGGAATGCTACAAGGATCGAATCTTGCCACTCTGCTATTGGTAATTTGTGTCATTATGTTAAATGTTATTGCAAACCCAGGTTCTAAGTAACTGGCCGTAGCTGAAACTAGCAGTTTTTCTTCTCAAACTCTCTTGGAATACTTTATGTATACATCCATGAAAACCTTGTAAATAGAGTAATTAAAAAGTTGAAAACTTTATTAGCTTTTGAAATTGCTAAAATCTAAAAGAAGTTATTCAAAATATATACGTCTTTATCTCTCGTAGGAAAGGCATCAAGGCATGTAAGATGATATTATCCCAACCCTGTTGATATTTTCTATCTTTTTGAAAGATGAGCCTCTCCCAAATTATTTCTTCTCCCAAAGGAAGAACCATCAGTCGAGGTGAATTATTTTTCTGTACTAAAAGCGTCTGTACTAAGATATTACAGACAGACAGCAAATGTTTATTTAACTATTTAATTGACAATGTTCTAAATGATCAAAGTTTAAAAGGTAGTAGAATTGCTGAAGAGTTTTAGGCCACTGGAGATTTCATCAAAATAGGCATTTTGTTTAAACATGACCCTGTTTTTCTCTTCATAAAGTATTTCAGAATAAGGAATTTTGGCTCTTAACAAAGAGTTTCAGAACAAGTTTAAAATTCCTTATGGGATCCATATTGCTTGAGATGTTAAGAAATTTTTTTATTGAGACAAGACAACTTGCTCTGTTTTATGAATCATTTAATATCATTAGTAATTCGGGACGTGGTGATTGAAAGTCCTGATTACTCTGTTTCTAACTTTCAGTCAGAAAACACTTATTCAAAACGTTTTGTGCGTTAATAATTTGATAAAGTACCCTAAAGGTGTATGAAGCTGTGAGTAAAGATGCAAACTTGGCCTTTAATGCTGATAAGAGAGAAATTAATGAAGTTATAAAGAAAATAGGTTCCATAAATGTTCTTGGAATAGTTTTGTGCAATGCTGGATAAGCATAACTTATCTCCTGCGTGTAATTGTACGTTAAATGAGGCTAGCCTTGCAGCGACCTGTCTAGTTTCATCTATTGACCTAACATTCATTGGTACCAGATCCTTTGTCTTCAAACGGGTGGCATCAGAGCGTATTTTAGCATCCCTATCTGAAACGACGCGGAGATGATGGAACGCAAGCGAAGAGTTGTTGTATGTTGTTGTATGAGACCTAGGATCCTAATGATAATTTTCCTATACAAAAAATGAACAGTAGCTCAATATCTGAGAGCCATGGAAAAAGATCGAACATTAAAAGGACATGAAGGATTGCTTTTGCAAGAACGGGATGTTCATAAAGATAAACAAATTGATGGAGAGCTCTCTCCGAGCAATAAAAAACAGGTTGAGAATACTCAAGAAGATGGAAAGGGTAAAAGTAGATGGTGTTGGGCGATTCCTAAAAGATATATCTTGTGTTTCTTGGTATTTTGGGGATTTTTGTTGATGAACTGTGAGAGGTCATGCTTAAGCGTGGCTATAGTTGCGATGTCATCGAAGAGGAGAGTGAAGGAGGATGGCAAATGGGTGACAAAGGTAAGAAGTAGCCTTGTTAACTCCTCACCAACTTTAATTTAAGCAAATAGAAAAATGCACTTGTTACCACCGATATTGCACAAAGCATATTAATGCATTCCTTGCAATTATGTGGTTTTTCTAGAACTTTTCACTTACAGTTTGCCTTAGCAGTTTACCTCTGTGAGAAATTCTTTTGGACATTAGAGGGCTGGAGGTAGGACACAAACAAACTTAGATAAAGGAGGGGCATTTATGTCATTGATATAAAATCAAAAAAATTGTCTTTCTTGAATCAGAATGATTAACTTTATACAAATAAGTTATTTTATGATTGTTGCGAAATCGCTGGTGATGAATGCATGTTGATATATGCTTAACGTACAGCTTTGGCAGTCTACAGTGAAATAGAAAATTAATAAAAGAATAGCAAAAACCCTATTTGAAAATATGCGTAGCATCTTATAATCTTTAATAACTATCATATTAATCCTGTAGGCCCCCGAATTTCACTGGGACTCGAAGATGAAAGGTCAGTGTTATTATACCTAGTATCCATTATTCAGTAGCTTTGCTTGATTGATCTACCACCCGTGAAATCCCAAACAAGATGGCTACCTGTGAAGAATTCCAAATATCGTGTGCATAAACTGCTGGTTTGCTAAATGCAAGAGCACGATAAGTTATATCGATATGCTAAAAAGCTAAAAAGCTATATCACAAATTGTTTAGAGCTTTATAAAGGTAGCTATTTAAACAAATAGCCAAACATTTGACGGGGATTTTGTTTCAAAACTAAATATTGTTAAATCAAGTTTTTTTCTGTTTCTTTTCTCAAAAGCCTTTCATTTTTATAACATTTTAGACTGAGCCAGCATATCTTGAAGAGACAGGGTGAAATTTTCCTAGTATGATTGAAGTAAAAGAGACGAGGCATTTACAGCGATTTAAGTCCATTGATTGACAATCATATTTGACAACGTCGCTACAGCTGCTTTGGCTATCATTTCGCTGCCTATGAGTAGCTGTCTTATTGAATGTCGTCAAAACAGATGATAATATGTGCATATGCTAATGAGCTTAAACGATCAAAAATCCAGCTACAAATTGGCTGGTAATGTTCCTATTAGAATCATGCCCATAACTAAAGACAAAGTTTAAGCAGACAAATCTCGCTTTTTTAGATTAAGCTTTATTGATGCAAATATGCCTAAACAATACGAATTCCAGCTACAATTTGGCTGTTAATGTTTTTATTCTAACCATGTCTATAACTTCAAAAGAATGTCTTACCAGTTTAAACAGAAAATTTTGAATTTTTTAGAAGATGTATTAATGATATAAATATGCCTAAAGAATACGAATTCCAGCTACAATTTGGCTGTTAATGTTTTTATTCTAACCATGTCTATAACTTCAAAAGAATGTCTTACCAGTTTGAACAGAAAAATTTGAAGTTTTTAGAAGATGCATTAATGATATAAATATGCCTAAAGCATACGAATTCCAGCTACAATTTGGCTGTTAATGATCCTTTTGTAATAAAGCCATTTTAAGAAGAAGCATTTTTCTTCTAGACTATTTTTTAGAAAGCAAATAAATTTGTCTTTATGAAGTTATTTTTATTTGTTATGTTCTAGTATACTTTGGTCTGACTGACTTAATGTGCTGATTAGTACCTTTCGATGTATTAACTAGTCTTTTTTAGTTTAACTATAATATATTTTATAAATTGGAGGAATGAAAGTTGGGGAAGGGGAGCCAAACAGGGAGAGAATTCCTCAAGTCTTTTTAACGCTGAGAACTTTTGAAATTATATTTCATTTCACACAAAATTTTTGCAGATATTTACTTCGTTAAGGCTAATGAAAAGAGTGTTGAGAAAAGAGCCAACTTTCTCGTTATCTCTTTTAAATATCAACTGTCATCTGAAGGATTGCCTAGTTGGACATTGGTGCAAAAAAACACAATGGAATTATCCGGGAATTGCATTTACCTACTTTTCAACACGACCGCACGTTTTTATCTGCTTGTACCAAGCTTCCATTTCACCTAAAAGTTTTTTTAATCCAAGTGATATCTAGAATTTTATCAATTTTGTTTCTATCCTCAAGGCATCATTTTGAGTGCTTTTTTCTACGGCTATTTGGTTTTGCAAATTCCTGGTGGATGGCTGGCATTAAGAATAGGCGCCAAAAGAGTATTGGGCTACGCGATACTAGTTGCTTCAGCCATCCATACTTGCCTTCCAATGCTGGTTAGATACAACTGCACTCTTTTTGTTGTTGCAAGAGTTTTGCAAGGACTAGCACTGGTAAGAGAGCTCTTTTACTTCCTCGCACCATATATATTCGTATCATTGTAATGTGATCGTTATAAATTTGCTCTTGATTGATATTGGGGTACTCAGAGGGTCGTACTCAAGCCTAATTCGTGCATGATTTATCTGACCTATGATATCAGGTGAGTCTTTGATTGACACCTTAGTCTTGTGACGTGATTCATCGTCATTTTATTGGTTGTTATCTGCTTCTTAGTGTTATAATCCAGATACGTTTCATTAAGTCAATTCTTTGCTAATTTATAATTCGGGGAAATGTAAATGTGTTTATGATTCATTTAGAAAATGGCGAAGTGACAAAGTGGGAATTTCTTCTTCAAGCTTCTTCCTCGTCTTATTTATTCATTTAGATAATGACGTTCTCTAGACAAGAGTTTTTATAACGAACGGTTTATGAATGATCATGAAATTCAAACATGATTTAAACAACGTTACAAACATAAATGTTCAAATGAAGCGATCAAAAACTTTGCTGTCATGTTCAGCTCACATTCTATTGATATCTAACTACATTCAAATTTGAACTTAATTTGCATTACTACATATAATTTACTTCTCTTTCTAAGTTTCTCTGCTTAGAAAATATCAGTAGCAGTTTAGGTCGATTTGCCTCTTAAAATGTTTATAAATTTGTAACATTATTTTATAGGGTGTTGCACTGCCTACAAATCACGTGATTTGGAGCTACTGGTCTCCAGCCCACGAAAAAAGCTGCCTTATTTCCTTTACTGTGGCAGGTAGGGAGCATTTACTTTTTTTCACTCGTCTCAGTAATTATTGCAATATACAGCATATGTCTGTTTTCGCTAAAAAAAGATTTTGAAAATTTGAGCTTGGAATTCTAAACGATTATCCAAAGTTCCTAACTTATCTCAGCAATGATGCTTTGAGATGGAGTTCAAAGATACTGTCTTTTTGGGGGAAAATTTCAATACAACACGATACCGAGCCAGAAACATGTCCAAGATTATTTGAAAAGTCCAGCCTTGATTTTCTATCCTGGAAATTTAAGGAAACTGTATTCAATGAGCAACGGTAGGTAATTTTCAGAAAGGTGTTGGAATTGGACCATAAACAAGTGCAGCGCTGATGCACGAAGTAAATTGTAAGTACAAAATGAAGTTATTGTAGTGTATGTTCCAGGCTTTTATTGAAAGTCGATCATCTAAGAATTCTGGTGGTAAACTTTAATATTATGCGAAAATGAAGTCATTTTGCTTCTACGCGTATAGTATGGATCAAAGTTTTCCGCTTCCCGTCCATTTTTGCATGAGATTAGAAGTTGTTTGAGATTTCCCAATAACAACAGAAAAATCTAGCAGTTCTCCGCAAACAGACATCCTTTAAACATATCCTGATAGCTGTGGAGGTTTGCTGAATTCTCAGCAGTTATTTTCTGTTTCGACTCGAATACTAGCGCCTATGCAGAGAGTTAAATTTAGCTATTTAGTATATTCATAATGTACTAAGAGAGATTTTTGAACCGCTGTCTGTGAATTTCAGATCAGATCCTTGCAGATTGAGAACAAACTACTGAATATAGAATAATGAGCCATTAACGGTGTGCTAGCCGTGCTAATTTCTTTTCATAGTCACGAAACCCAGTGTGATGTCGTTTTCTAAATAAGCTCCAATGGCGAAACCGAATAAGCTCAGGGGAAACTTAGCGTTTGAGTAAGTCTCTGCTACACCATGATCTTTTGGGCTCCTATACAATCGACACAATTGAATAGCAGCATTTTATTTTATCTCTAGGTCATTTTTTGTGTTTTTAGAGTATTGAAAACACCGATGGGTTGTTTTTATAATGAGCATCTAATAGATAAACATGGCTTTGGTATGATTAAGTTATTTGCAGATGCGTGGTCTATGTCTTCAGAGAACTAGAAAGGAAGGTAACTTGACATTGATATTTTGCCTTCCGAAAGTAGGATATTGTTACTTGGAGTTGTCAATGCATGTGGCGGGGACAAGTAGGCCAAGCAGGTGTTAAGCAATTGCTTTTGAAATTATATCTTAAGGAATCTAAGAAGTAATCTTAAGGAAACAAAAGTTGAATAAATTACAAAACCTGCCGTCCATTTTTTGCTAGAACGCCAATATGACTGTCACAATTTGACGAAGCGTGAAATTTCGGATACTATGATGCTTTATGATGACTTTAAACCTAACATTGGTGACACGTGTGGGATTGAATGACGCGTCATCAGACTCGTTGCTCTCTTAATGATATTTGGTCACACCGTAACAAACTTGAAACATTTGGCCAAGATTGCTGGTAACCAAATTGCTGGTGAATATGGTCAAAAACCCTTAAAAGAAGAGAGAGGTGGCGATTTCAATGTTTTTCCAAATCGTTTTTCAGAATTTGAGTAAAATTGTGATCAAACCTAAGAGTGATTCTCTGCAAAAATCTGTCACCTGAGCTGACCAGCCATTATGAGTAAAATTTTGTATAGTTGAAATATCCTCATATGCTGTTTTGTTCAAGAAATGGTGCAAAATTGTGTCAACAGAGAAAGCTCCCTCAGAAGAATCTTATAGTGCCATAATTAGAAAAAATCCAGGGACACCGGAACGGCCAAGGGGAAGAGGGGGGGACAGGCTTGAGTAAAAGGGCATTTGAAAAGTAATGCCCAGCTATCAACAATTCTTTCTTAACTGTCATTTTCTTTCGATAATCTGTCAGTATCTTAAAATCGGATAACTTTTGGCATAAGAAATTTCTTTACAAGTTTGAGAAACGTCGTCATAAATAAGGCACTACAGTCAGGAACTCATATGAATCTAATTGATTTCCTACGAATGGCCGGCGTCAAAAAAACTTCTATAAGAAGGGCACTTTAGCCTCCCTTGCCCCTCCTATAAAAAGGCAACAGTGGCGGTTGACCCCGTAACCAGCCCCCCCCCCCGGCGTCCCTGTCCCATCCATAAGATCCACTCGTATCATTTGCGAATCCGCATCAATCATTTCTTGTGCTCAACCTTGTGGTCGTGATTAAGGTGGGATTCTAAAGACATCAAAGCAGCTGTCTTGAAATTTCGCCTGTGCTTATCTAGCTTAGCAAAGAAAATACGAGGTACGAGGCAGATCAGGTCGAAAAATGAATTCAGAGTCAATAAGGAGAGTATTTTCTACCGTTTATGGTTGATTATTATATATTAATCAATCTATACCTGGGATTGACTTTTTACAATTATTTGCTCAAAATATGATGATCTTTAATGGTTGCATTAAAAGCATATTTGCTTTTCTCTTTTCTTTTAGTGAAAATTTAGGTATAGCTTAAGAAACACAAAGTTATCATTTTATATTGTTAGAAAACGGGGAAACTCCTAGAATTAAGGACCTAGATTCACCGAATTCGATCACACATAGACGTATTTGACTCTTAATTGAGAACGCTATTGTGAGGTCCAAAAGAAGAAAATGACAAGTGCTTGTTCTAAGTTATCTCTTAAACTGCCCATGAACAAGAATATTCATCAAATGTTTTTACATTTTGATAACATTTGAATAACCATAACGGAAAAATTTCGTTAAAGAGGAAGTTGCAAGAAACCGGCAATATCATAGCTCGCCGATTGTAAATTAGCCATAATATACAGTTAGTGAAAAACAATACAATGTCGTTCTGATTTATGTCGTTCTTATGTGTTCATCTGAAAACTGAGTGTAGCACAGAACCAAAACAAGACATTTAATGTTTTTCTCCATTTAATCATTATACCAATGTTTTCCAAGTTCACCGTTCTGCGACACTTCTGCTTACCATCTCAGCTTTAGTTTTATTTCAGTTCTGTTCATGGCTACGTCAGGGGCGGCAGAGCCGGGGGGGGTGGGGGCTTTGGTGTAGGAAGGCTTTAGCCACTTTCCCGGCGAATGCTGACCAGCTTTCAATTTAATTCGTATTAATTGTTTGCATCTCAAGTTTCAGTTTGAAATCCTCCCAACCCCCCTCTCCGCTTCGAGATTCGCTCTGCCGCTCCTGTATGTGACAACATTATCTATATTGTATTTCGGATATATCATTTTTTTGAAAGTATATTTCATTTAACTTGTCTTTTGCTAAGCTTTTTTAAAAAAGTTAAGATTTTCATGCAATGTTTGAGTGTATTGGGTTACCATAACTTGGCGAGAGATTTGTCATAAATCAGAAATGCAACTCATAAAAATAAACACGAACAGGAACATAACTAACTTTCAATACTTTAATGTCGAGAACAGGACGGTTGGTCGTGAAACTCAGAGTTGCAACCTGGAATCGTCCTGCTCTAAGCGCCAGCTCTGCGCGTGTACCACTCTTTAGCAGATCTGTCAGTTATTTTGATAAATTTCATACGTACATTTGTAAATAGGTTCGTTTTGCATTGTTAATGGATCTTTGTCTAGGTTTGTAGCTTGTTCAAAACTACATAAAATCTTTTCGATTTTAGGGTACTCTCTTTGATTGATTCCTTAGGCTTTCTTCAAGACATTTCTTACTTGAATATGCGCCGTAAAATGCATAATGCTTGCTTCTTTTGAGCAAATCATGTTTCGAGGTCACACGCGTTGTCTGGCGTTGTTCGCACATTCTGTCGAGTTATAAATCTAGGCCCCAATATTAGCCTCTTTATCCGTCTGATTCGGTTCCTTCATACCTTAAATCCTCGAATTAGCCCACTGGGGGCTTATCTATTCTTGATACTGTATTTTTAGAAGGGGGCTTATTCAAGGGGGGCTTATACGAGGGGGCTTATAAAATTATTGTAGACATTAAGAAGACATTATTGAAAGCCTTCATTTATTTTAGTAGAAATTTCTTTATGAACGTTTGATTAATTACTACCAAAAGCATGAATTTGTTGTGGTAATTCAACAAAACGCCATAGGCAATCTCAGATGGCAAAAATCATCAAGTTGAGGGGTCCAATTTGAGAATTTACGGTAGCAGGGGGGGGCTAATTCGAGGGGGGGGGCAATTCGAGGATTTACGGTATTGGGGAAATCTTTCTTGAAGATATCCGAAAGAAGGAAAGATAAGTAACTTCTTGCTTTGCTGTCTCAAACTCTGGCAAATCAATGTTTTATTCACATCTTATCAATTGTGTTTTAGGTTTATCTGGCGGCATGCTTGTTGCAATGCCTATCTCTGGCTTTCTTTCAGTCTATGGTTTTTCAGGAGGTTGGCCATCTGTGTTTTACTTTTTTGGTGAGTTTCTTTTGTCTGTTGCAGTACAAAGGTTTTCATACTTATGAACATATCAACGAGGTCTCAACCTTTTTGGAAGCATCAACATTACCTGTGAAAGGCATTATCAATGTTCATTCTTCCATATAATCAAACGTTTTATATAAAAGTATGAGAGAGTGAGAGAATTTGAACAAATGCTATTTCATTAAGGCCAAGCGCTACAGTGCAGTTATGAGGCTGCAACGACTTCAGGAAAACCTATAGCTACAACGCTGTGAGAGAATGAATAATCCCTTATTTCGAAATAGCCGCAAATCGGATTTAACAGCATTGTTGCCGGGAAAATTGCAGATGGCATTGAAAATTGCCAACGTACATGATAGAATGAAAGCAATATTTAAAGTTGTCTTCCCAGCAATGCATGGCTTATACCCAAACGCTGTTTCATATTGAGCAATGCTATATTTTATTCTCATTCTTCTAGAAGTGTTCGTCCAATCTCACCTTACAACCATTTATTCACCCAAAAAATGTTTCCTTAATCATTTCGAAGAATCTCACACGGCAAACAATTCCCCAACATTTTGGACAAAACTTGCATGTTCTCACTAACTCTTTTTTGAAACAATGTTTGATTTGCTCAGAGACCAAATTCTCTAAAAATGTTTTTTAGGTGCAAGCTTTTAGTTGGGCTAGTTCAAAGAAAGTCACTTGACGATAATTTGAGGCCTAGGATAACAGAGTCAAGAAATTTGCAAACAATATTTTAGTGGTGCAAAAATCAAAAATGGATTTGAAAAACTTCAGTATACTCAAATGTAAATGACGAAAAGCTTCAGTATACTCAAATCTTTCCTTTTTTCAAAGCCAAGTCATTAATTTTTAACATAGCTTGGATATTTGTGAAAATTTCTTTCATTTTGGTAGGTATCATTGGGATGTCTTGGTTCTTTCTATGGAACTTTTTCGTTTATGAGACACCTGAGACTCACCCGACTATTACAGCCGAAGAAAAGCATATCATACTAGCGACTAGGCCAGAAAAAAGCAGCGAAGGGAATAGAACAGTAAGTTTCATAAGCTCAATTCAACAATTCAATTCATTTAATTCAATAATCAATCATATCAAACTTGATAGTATTCAATCAAATTCATTGTTCAATCCAATTCAATTCAATTCAATTCAATTCATTTCAATGTTTAATCCAATTTAATTAGATATTCAATCTAGTTCAATTAAATTCAATTAAATTCAATGTTCAATCCAATTTAATTTGATATTCAATCTAATTCAACGCAATTCAAATCACTAAGTCAAAAATTGTATCATGTATGACGAATTCATAAAGCTGGGGATAAAGCAGTCTCTCTCCAACGAAGAATCAAGCTTTAAAACTTTTTTGAATTTCATAAAAACTGCAGTTTTGGATTTAGTCAAAAGAAGGAGGTTATTGGAGTTTGGCTCATTGAAAATGCTTGATTCTTTTAGGTAGCTGGCAAAATTATGAATAGAAATTAAAGAAAATCGTGTGCCAACAAAATTTGTACATCCACAAAACTAGCCAAAACCAGAAATAGCAATTTGTCTTTGTCTTGCCAATTTGATGTCATTTCTCGTTTGATCGAATCTGGTTCTAAAGGACAATTGCTTGTCTAGATTCCTTCGATCGATTGTTATTGTGAACAGATCAGTTTATTAAGTCGAGTTTTACTATTTTGCAGGATTCAGTTCCCTGGTTGGCTATGGTAAAAAGCCGACCGGTCTGGGCGATTGTCGTAGCACATTTTGCATTTGACTGCAGTTATTACACTCTCTTGGTCTGCATGCCACTTTTTCTGCGTGACGTTCACAAATTCAACATCGCTACGGTAACTGAATTTTTTTTAAAAGCTATCATTCTTTGGGGTTAAAAGGGGTTTTCTCTCATTCACAAATGTGATGATAGAAGTCAAATAATTGCCAGTTGGTTCATGCTGAGTTCGAACCTAGGCCTGTAAATGCTTGCTATACAATATGAGAAGTTACAATTCTAGTTTAGTGGAAGTTGATAGTGAGACTTTGTTGTGCTATGTTATCTATCGCTATCCTATGCAGCATTGGATATCAGCTGACACTAATTTGCGTCAAGGCAAAGAAACACAAAGAGTGACAGGGTTGTTCTGTTAAATTAACTTGCTTTTTTGCATTTTAGACTGGCGTGCTTGCTGCTCTTCCTTGGCTATTTATGTCGATAATGACTTTAATTGGTGGATTTCTGGCAGATTTTCTTCGACGTTACATGAAAACAGTTTACGTCAGAAAATTATTGTACGTCTCAGGTAAGATGTTCATAAAGATGGTAAGAATTATCAAATGTGATATTTTCAAAGCATATTTTTAAAGAAAAACGTATATTGTTGATTCAAAGGCACTATATCCTGCAAGATAAACGTTTCAGTTAGAAAGTTTTTGTGCGCCGTGGTGTAATTAAGAAATCGTTAAGAATTAGTTGGAGTAGTAGATTTTATTTGTGAAAAGGAGATTGGATGACCTAGGTAAACAATCTATCCAACCAGTGGTAATTTATGTGGCCGCCAAAATTTGTCGAAAGGCAGTGCATTTTAAGGCAACGGATAGTAGCTTCTGAGTGATGTGACAAGAAGCGTTGTCATTATCTATTCAACAAGTAAAAATTATGATTTTCAAATATCTATTGGCAAGTCTATTCCGAAGAAACTACGCGTATACGTGAATCATGCTGTGCGTTAAAACAACAGTTTACATCTCTCCGTTATGGCTACATTAACTCCGTTAGAAACAACAACTCCAAGCTTGAATATCTGCTGGACATGTTTAGGCAGTTTTTCTTTGGAGGATACCGATCGAGAAACTAGAACTCCAAGCTGCTAATAGAGGTTGTGAAAGGATGCCTGTAGGAACGGGTAGCCCAGGAGATTATGTACATTACAGTTAAATAGATTGTCAGAAATTTCAATATCCAAATTTTGTAGCCTCTCCCATCCTCATTTTAAGACTGGAAATAACTCAAATAGCTTTATTTGCTCGCTGTAAATAACAATTTAGTATGACATCAGTAATGAAAGATTTGATTTTGTCAGGAATGGTAGGCTCGTCATCGTTCATAATTCTGGCTGGATTCCCAGAGCGATCCGAAATAGCAGTTGCATTCATGTGCATTGCAGTTGCCTTTTTTGGATTTTCCTTTACTGGGTTCATGGTCAATCCATTGGATATTGCACCAAAGTACGCTGGTATAATCATTGGCTTTTCTAATTGCATTTCGACGTCTCCTGGATTCATCGGACCGTCCCTTGTTGGGATTTTGACAAGAGATGAAGTGAGTATCATTCATCCGACAAAACGTGAACTTGCATTTTAAAAAGTTCTATTTCAAAAAGTTCTAAAATGGGAACAAAATTTAAACATAAACAAAAAAGCAGAACAGTATTTACTGCACAGTAAAATGGTGCACTTTTCCGGTACCACAGTGCCATGATACTAAGTGATAAATCCAAAACGACTGTGGGTCAGTTTTGTTTGAACTGACATTTTTTTGTAGAAAATCTTTTTGCCAATATTTGGTCATTAATATTACTGGTCTATGTTTTCAAGATTGGAAAAAGTTGTTCTTTTCTAGAGGTGGATTTGAAAAGCGTAGTGAGATTATTTCTGGCAAATGCGCGCGGTATTAAAGGCCATCAACAATTGAATAATTCTATTCCGATTTTCTGAAATAAAAGTTTTCATAGTTTATTTGCTTTGGTTCTCATAAATTCTCTTATCCTCCTTTCACTTTTAAGTGTCTTAAAGCAAATTTAAAAAAATGTTTCTTTATCTTTTACTAGAAACCAAGTCAGTGGCAATTGGTTTTTCTGGGAATGGGAGCAATCAGCATCTTTGGTATAATCGTTTTCACTTGTTTGCATCAGGAGAAATTCAGCCATGGGCAAGTTATTATGTCGAACTAGGAGACGAAGAGACTGAGAATGAGAATGTGTTGACAAAGTCAAAGTCGCTTGAGAACTCTTTGGAAGATCACAGGTGACCGGAAATGAAGTCATCGATGTAAAGTTAGCAGATTCCCGAGCTTCGTCATAGCGTAGCATCTATTCTTAGAGCTATGAAATTGGTTCTATGGAAGCTCCTTCTTGCAAACCGCAAAGCAAGGGATGAGATTTCTTCACATTAACAGGTTCAAGAATGGGGCCGAAAAATTTGAACATTTGAAGATTTAGTTAAGCACATTTTGCGCAAAGGCAAGCTGATTTTTGCAATGTTCCCTTATGTCATGGTTACAAAATAGGAATTTACCTATATATCGTCAAAAGACTGGACAAATGTTTCCTGTTGTTTAAAATTTAAAGAAAGACAAAATTTTAAACAAATAATAAGATTTAAAAATTTATGAAAACAATTTATGGTAAATTGTATACTAGTATTTTTCTATTGACCGTGAGTTTGTTTCAGTTGAAATACTAAAGTAAGAAGTCCACTGTAAATAAATAAAAGTATATATTTTGTCCCTAATAGTTTTGTAAGTTAATATTTCTACACAAATAAGTAATTGTTTTTAATTATAAAGAATCACATTCAATTTTCTATATCCTCCTCTACTTTCAAAGACTTAAATTGGGACACGACAGAATGGTCTTGTGTACGTTTTGAAAGAAACTGTACAATAAACAAACTTTAAATTATGATAAACGAGATCATATATTAGTAAAACTAAAGCAATAGAACCTGGTAGAGGTACGTGTTAACAACTATTGTTCGGGGTTACATTAACTTTGAAATTTAGAGTGAAAACTATATTATCTTTTAGAATGAAAGTAATAAGAATTCATCTCGACCAACAGTGCAGTTGTACATTTTGATTCTTTCTTAATTCAAAGTCAATTTCAAACTCAAACAAATATTGCCTAGCAGTCCAGCAGAAAATGAGTTTCAAAATAAAATGATAATCGGTATTTGGCAAAATATCTTGTTTTTCACCACAATGCTGCTATTTAAATTAAATTGAAGTAATAAATAAAACGATATACAAAGATCAATGTACATTTTTTATACAAGACTTTATTTATCAAGATTTTCAATAAACTGAAACCGCGTAAAGTATAAAATAGACTAAAAAAATAATGGCCATTCCACCAATGTAAAAATCTTGGTTCAAAAAAGGCAATGAAAACCTTTCCACATTAAATACTGTGCCAAGTATTTATTAACTTATTACAACGCTTTCTACACAAATTACGTTGTTGCTGTATAAAACTTAGTGAGTTTTATATTTAAAGTTTCAAAAATAATCACGATTTCACCACCGATATTGAGTTCGACATTCTCTAATTGAGACTGAAGCGCAAATATTCCTCTTGTGAATCCGGCCTATGCAACAGTACTTTCTTTACAATGATAATTGTTGGGTTTAAAAAACGGCGACATTTTCTATCTAGCAAGATTATTACGATTTAAAGTGAATGTAATAACCGGCTTATGCAATTATTTATCCACCGGTATTGAGTTCGAGATTCTCTTATTGAGGCTGTAGCCCAAATATTCCTCTTGTTAATCCGGCCTATGCAATAGTGCTTGCTTTGGAATAATCATTGGCGGGTTCCAGAAATGGAAACAGTTTCTATGTATCTTTTTTAACCAAGCATTAACGATGACAAGAAAAAACCTTTGCTCAAAGATTTTATCACGAGCAAGTGCTTTCCTGGGGGAACATGTGTTGCCACTGCAGCAACGATACTTCCATAAGCGTACTTCTGTGTTTCGATGACGCGGCTTAAATGACCATTTAGAAAGAATACAGCCCCGCCTAAGTTCGAATATGTCCCAACAAGAATCATCCAGTCTGGCTGGTCTCCTGAAATCTGAACAGGCACATCAACAAGCAAGTGTAGCTCATGACCTTGAGATCTAGTTCTAAGACCACGTGTCTTGTCTTTGCGAACTAAAAACCCATGCGCTACAGCAACAGCGTATCCATCGTTACGGACGACGCGGATTTTCATGTTATTCTTTGGTAGCTCTCCTTCGCTGGCAACATTGAATGTATAACAGATGGGATCACTGGCTACAAGCTGAGATTTTGTGTAAAGTACTTTTGGCAATTGAGGCGGTGTCTCATTTGGAATGAAAACTTGATTTGTAGGCATCATAGTTGCCTCACCTGGTATTATCAAATCCAAAACCACATCTTTAATCATCCTTCTAAAATATTCTATCATTAAGAACGCCATCTGCGCGTGCCCAAGAACGTTCGGATGTGAATCGTCACTGGCAAAGAGTTTATGAAATCCCTTGGATCCAGAAGCAATTAGTTTCCGGCAGACAAGTCTCTTCCAACTCACTGCTGGAACTCCGTAATACTTGAGGATGTAATTTGCTCCGTCGCCTTCTAGATTATTACATTCACCCTCTTTGATATAATCTTGTCCTCTAAAGAAATGTACGGCGAAGATGGCAGGGGAAGAATCCAATCGCCGAAGATTGCGGATCAAAAGCTCCAAAGGCATTGTCGGTGGCACATCCCGATTGTCAAATCTATGATAATCATTTGCCGATAGCTCCCAGATTATCAAATCAGTATCGTTAGGTGCTATGTAGTTCTTTAAACAATATGCATAGAAATCGCTACCAGTTGCACCAATAGCAAAGTTCTTGTATATCATCTTCGACTTTGTCATGGTTCCGAACAATTTGTTCCACCATTCCGCAAAAACCTTAAAGTATATTTTGTTTTGATCGCCAGTCTTATACAAAGTTGCTCCTGCTGATATTGAGCCTCCTAAAACAGCCAAATTCACTTCTTCACCACGTAATGCTTTATAAGCAAGGTTTTTGATATGATATGCATGAGGTGTGTTATATATTATGGACTTGTTTACTTCTTTATATGATAGGGACCTCCTTGTGAATCCGAGATCGTCTAATGAAGAATACATATCTCTGTCCATCCAACCAATTAAAGGATTTTCTTCAAGTAAAATGCGTATTTTTAAAAGCGATTCTTGATCCAAGCATAATGCTTTTGTCCACATTAGAATAAAGAGAATTGTGGCTAGGAACCAGTCCACTTTGCTCATCTTTGAGTGCACAAGCGTTCTACCTTCGTTGTCCTCGAATTTCAATAAGAGAATGCTAAAATGTTTCTTCTAATATTGGCAGATTTTGGCTGGAGGCTTTCTTATTTTCATCGCACTTAACTTGCAACAAACAGTTTCAAGAAGAAAACAGCCTCCGTGTCCCAAGTCATATCTATTTTTTCCACGGCTTTTTCTTCAAGATATAGTCAGCTCCTCCTTCGCAACGATTCGTTTGCTTCCCGGCAATTATATGTGCAATCTAATAAGCTCTTGCTAATTACTGTCAAAATGTCTAATAACTGACCCAGTAGTTTCTTGCTCACGAAATGATTTTCTTCCTATCCAATGTTTCGAGCGAAATGATCTTTGTTTCCAAACTTTCCACTTTCTGACAAATATGGTTGAAAACTAGAAAGCCCGTGCCTGTATGCTCTGTTTGAATCAGCCCTCCGAATTCCTTTGTTTTTGCTCTATCTATGTTTAAATCATAAACATGTTCAGCCAAGTGTTTTCTGCAGCCAAGTTTATCAGTATGCTCTTAAAACACGTTTTGAATCGTACCCTAAATTTTGCAAAACTCTAAGAAATTTTGCAAATTGTGTATAGTCTGCGAAGAAACAATGCTATCGCACAAACTTGTTTTCTTGTGTTTGACAATTCCACATATAATGTATTTTTGTTCATTTGGTTTTAATAAACTAGTTATCACTTAAGGCTCCACTAATTGAAAGGCTTGGAGCAAGAACAATAGGTCTACCAGTAACCCAAAACGCATCAATAATTTTCTTGACAGATTCTATGCTACCCTGTCTAAAGAGCACTCGTTTATCTCTGGTTACAATGGAAAGCAGGTGTGATGTTGTTCTGGTGATATGTAAGCTATTGCGTGTTCAAGCACCCAGTTAACACCAATAGACCTATTCCTGTAAGGCCTTTCCAGGGAAAGTGCTTCTCCGATATTCACCATTTTTAATTCTTGCAATAATTAAGGGCTCGAGTTCCTTAGTGTCAAGTTTTACATGCAAATGTTGACCTGTCTCAAGTTTTGAGCGTAAGTCCTACTTCAACTAGAACTGTTCCCAATTTCAAAGAAACTTTTTGTAATCAGACATTTTGAAAATTCTTTCTGGCGCCATTATGGAATTCTGTAATAAGAAACTCGAAATATGAAGGAAAAAAACAGTTCCGGTCGCGATAGCAGGAGTTAATAAATTTGGTTAATTTCATGCTAAAATGGCTTCTATAGCATAGCTTTGCCTTTTTAGAATTTTCAAAATTTACAATCTGAAAGAAGCATTCAGTGAACTTTTTGAGTGAAAGTATTGGAGAGGCAAGCTTGATGAAGCTTCGAACTCACTTTTCAGAGTAATCTTATTTTGTCTACTTCCAAGGTTAAATATCTGACTTTAAAGATGCCTTTTACAAGTCACGTCACATTGATTTGAAAGCCCCCAAACCCCCCATTTTTCCATTTTTTCATCCAGCTTTGATGTGATGCCTTAATATTACTTCATGCAGCAATTTACTTTTTTTAAAAAGCTCTAGTGCGATTTTTCAAACACTTTAAATACACAAAGATAATTGGATAAAAAGTCTTCAAAACAATGCACCCAGAGACACCTCATGTTACAGTTACCATTCTTAAGTCAAGTATGCTTTCTTTGAAGACATTCTATTTCCCGTGCGCTGCTCTAAATGAGAATTTTGAGGAAGAATACTTAATTACAATGTTAATTTGTAGACTAAGGTGTTTTCTATTAACAGGTGCTACTTTAATGGGTGTGGCGATGATTTCCGTAATCTGTCAAGTCAACCACAAGAGAAAATCAGTCTATGTAGATTGCATTTGATTACGTAAAGTAATCCAGTTCGTATCATTATAGCTGATTGTTTAAGGCTTCTTCACAGTTTGGGATACTGTTTGCATTTATCTCTATCTGTGGAGTGTGTTTGGTAACTCTGAACCGATAGGTTCAGGTCCCTGTCTATCGGTAGACTTCAGGTACCCTAATATACATACATACAATAAAAGTCAGATTGGCATTAATCTAAAATGTTTTGAAAATGTACTTTTGTTGCGAAGATTGAAAGTTGCCATCAAATTAAGTGCTAATGGAGACAATGGTTTTAGCATTGAAGCTTTGATCGGCGATATAGACTCTTGGCCTAAATCGAATACCATTGATATCCGTCCCTTTCCATTGCAAAAGTTGCCTATTCGCACAACAAGCAGTGGCAGGATGGCTTGGACTTTTTCATCTGGTATGTGGGTCAAGGAGCCTTGATCACCGTTGCCTTTTAATGAGGATGTGGCAAAAAAAATTATTCGCGTATCTTACAAATTATTGCCTATTCGCACACTTAAAGCTGATTTTATTTATTTCACTCTGAAACAAGGGAGAGGTAGCTCATAGCTGACGGGCTAGTCTAGTCCAACCTCATTGATCTAGTCTGCCACTGCGTGGCACCGACATCATCATTTTCAGTGGCCTCTCTTCTATGTTATTGGCATGACAACAATGGCATGGCAACAATTGAACAGCCGAGACGACATGGCCCTGGGAAAGACAAAACAACATTGGGTCACTCGGAAACTTGAAGATAGAGTTTTGGTAAGCGTACTCTATTTCTTAGACATGTAACTATGAATAATACAGATGATTAGCTTTTGATTCACTGATAAACCACCATGTTTAGGCAGTGCACCATTTCGAGAGTCTTCTAATATGCCAGAACACTATTTTCTTTGCGCGTGGAGTGCCCAGAAAGATCATTAGCTCGTCCTCCTGCATGAAAACTGTTCTTAAAGCTTCATGATACCATAGCTTACCTAAAAGTTGCAAGACCTTTGCTTGACACATAAGTCAAATATAAATAGAAAACACTGTACACCGCTTTCAAATTTTGGCTAGTAGTCTGTTGTTTACTCTCGGCTCATTTACACGTCGGCATTTAAACGATCGATTCATTATTTGACTGTCTATTCATTCAATTATTAGCAACCCGCTAGCCAGTATATTTCTGTGGCTACTACTAACAATGCTTTAATTTGCCTTGTGCTTTATTTATTTTTTTCAGTTTTCGACGGTGTACTTTTTTTTGTACTTCAGTTAGGTAGTTCAATGAGTCTATTGAAATCTCACAATTCTACGCTAATACTTTTGTTTCAAAACATAAACGATTATATTAGAAATTGAGATTGTTAACCTACTTTGCTTGTACTTTGTATCAATTGCGCTTTCGAAAGCATTATTAATGTTAAGTTTATTAGCTGTTAGTGCCTAAAGATGTTTATGAATTCTGTGTTTTTCAAAATTATCTATTTTTTCTTAGAAGTGACGCATTTAAGGTATAAGCAGAGATAAACTAAAGTAATCTGAAAAAGCTGACAAGCTTGATAAAAATTATTGAAATGCATATTTGGGTTTTTCTACTAATCAACATTGTTGGGTAGAAGTCTTCATGAAAATAGATAGTGAAAAGTCAATGATTTTCTCATTAGCAACCTTTTACAAAGTGCACTGGTGAGCAATTTCTCCACATGATCACTCCACAGATGTCTGTTTATTCACCAGGGACAGTACAGTAGTGAGGGGGAGGCAAGAGGGAGCAGATATCCTCCCCAATGGCAAAAAATATCTTTCAAAAATAACATCTTCTGGCGTTCAAAAGAGTTTGAGCCCCCAATTTTCCATTGCTCATCTGGCCTTTGCCCCCAATCTTACCACCCTGGCTGCGCTCCTGACCTAAAAGGGCTTTAGCCCCTCAGATAATTTTCAAAATGTACTTAAAACAATACAAGAAATCATCCATAGTTGTAAAATGCTCACAGTGCTTGTTATTTACTTTGAGAAAAACTCCTACTTCATTTCAAAAGCATGGGGCCATGGTCCCTCTGGACCCCTCCCCAAAACCACCACTGGACAATAGAATTTGTAACAAATAGCTATGCATTTTTTCAGCCTTGTATTCATTGAATTTGATACAGTAAAAGTTGAACAAGAGTGACAACTGTATCATAAAAACCCTTATTGTCCATCTGACTCACCTACCAATGAAAAGAATATATAGATATCAGTCCCATTTAATCCTAAGCTGTAAAAAATCGTAGGGAATTATTTTCAAACTCTCTACCCAAAGAAAAGCATTATGCATGTCTTTCTTTTCTTCTTGTTATGAAATGTTCATCTTGTATTTTACCTTAAAGATTGGAATTTCTCTTAACAACTGTAAGCCACAAAACCTCGCTTCACAATTGAAGGATTATAATGGTCAAAAAACAATTCATACTGGATTAAGCATTATTCTGTTTCTGAAACTTTTTCATTATTCATAAACTTTTTCTTCACAGCAGCTTAAGTAAAGGATTTTGTGGTAGGTGATTCTAGCCAAAGAGATCTTACTTCTCTCTGTTACAATTATTTTAAGCTTTTTCTGTATTTCTTGTGATATTTGTCTGATTAATAACTACAGGTTGTGATGTTGAAAGAAACTGAACTGCACTCAACAAAATGAGCTCAACACAAAATAATGTAACCTCAGCACATCCTTATCTACCCAGCTTTCCACCTTCAAAGGGCACAAAACCTTCTTACTCACGGTATGTATGAAAATTTATTGGGCTATAAACTTTTTCCAATTTCAGTTTATTAGATGTTGTTTATTAAGGCAATATTAGCAAACAAGTTTTTCCGTTGTAGAGAATCTAAATATTCAACATTTTGAAACATTCTAAAACTTTTTGTCTAAAGTTCTCAATAGTTTAAAGCATTAGAATAATAATAAAAAATTTATTCAGAATGAATATTTTTTCCCTTATCACAAAGACCTGAATTTGGAAGCAAATGAGCAGGCAATCCCTTCCTGATATGAATTTTGTTGCAATGACACTGCAACATAAGCAAATTTTTTAATCCACCTTTAAGTTGGCTCAAAAAACACAGTAATCATTTTAACATGATTTTGGTGCCTACCAAACTAACAGATAAGGATGAACATAAAAAGACACTTATCAGAAACAATTCAAATTTTGTTAGATCCAAAAAGTACACAGACCTTTGCACTGAATAATCTTGCTTTTGATTCTTAGCTGTCTGTCAAGTTTTTGACCCCTCACACCTAAATCCAGAATATATAAATTAAGAAACATGAACTTTGATAAATAATCACCTAAAAGCCTTTTTCTTCTCTAGATTCCTTGTATCTGCTCCACTTATAGCCTTAGCTGACATAACCCCACATTCAAAAAAACCACAAGAGGTAAATTCGTTTATTGCTTGTTTGTATTCAAATTTTGTTGATGATTATACGACATACTCATGCTCAAATTTAATTTGTAGGCCATGATAGCAGAAAAGAAAAGCTCTAAAAAATTTGTTAAGTGATCTTTGTTGTTTGGTTGTCAAAAATATTCTTCGAGAGAGAGGAGTCGACAAGCTGGTTTTAATTCTAGTTCTTGCCTAATTCTCGTCGATTTACTTTCCCTCCAACTCTGCCAATTATAGACTGAAGATTTCGGTAAAACAAAGTTTGAAGATGGCATGAAAAAGAGGAAGCACAGCAAACTGAAGAATAGTGGCCGAAAGTAAGCAGGACATTTATATCCAGGCGGTCGCTGATTGGTGCAAAACACAAGAACGAATTGAACGTGTCCCGCTTCCTCTCTCGTTAATTTCGTTGCACACCCGGATATAAATAATCTGCTTACTTTCGCAAACTATTCAACGTTTATACTCTGAAGAGTGTCGGGCGAAAAGTACTTCAGTATTCTACGTTTCCCACTAATCCGTGCCATCTTCAATCTTTTATTTTTTCAATTACCTTTGGCATAATTTGATTGTATATTCCATTTCAGTAGTTTTAAAAAATCTTTTGGTGGTACGAAACTTGAAAATGGCTTTGAAAAAAGCGATCATTTGAGTGAAACTAAAGCTTTCTGATTGACCTATTTCGATCCACAAATGGGTATATATATTTCCTAGCGTAGAGTTTTCGATCTATGTTCTGACGTTTTAAACTCTGACGAAAAACTTTAGTTTACTCAAATGTCTGCTTTTTTCAAAGACATTTTTAAGTAGTTTTTTCTGAATTCTTAATTTAGTTTAAGTCATCGACTGGCTGTCGAGTCAGGGTGCAAGTTGGAAATACAAATAGATGGAGAGCAACTGCTGCATTAGGAAGCGATTTGCTGGGCACCTCCCAAGCAATGAAGGCCATGCAGTCTTCGAAACAGGGAGAGGGAAGATCCACCAGCAAAGGTTTCTTATTATTTCTATACTGAAAGTTACTATCCCTGCCTATAAAAGTTACTATCAATGTTATTAACTATTTCCGAAAAAAACTTACGAGTTTAATATCATAGCTCTCTGATCTGAATCCACTGGGCCAAACGGGACCCCTTCACTTTACATAAAACGACATTGTTCTGAGAGGATATGGAGTTGTAAAACGAAAAATTTAGAAATTTAGTTCATTTTACCGAGATTTAAAAGCAATTTTCGTTACTTTTTGTGAATGGTACAAAGCAGGCAGAGAAAGATACAGAGGAGACTTGCAGCCTGCACTCAGAAGAAATGAAAGCCACCCCCCCCCCTTCCTAAAAAAGGCCTAATATATACCCATGGTAGAACAACACTTAAGATTTGCTTTAAAAAGTTTTAGGCAAATGGTCGTTAATGAGATGAAAGTGCTTTTCTGAAATGAAATTGCCCTAAACAAGCAGAGACCACAAAAGCAGCGGCTGAGGGGGCATATAGAATCCAACATTTTTAAGACCCTTATATACTTGGTGGTGAATCGTTGGTGAATCGTTGAAACCCGCACTGAAGCCTATAGTTACTTGATGGTGAACCGTTGGTGAACCGTCTCTAGCATCACCATCACGAAACATAAATGGCACGCACGTTTCTGTTTAGTGAGGATAAGCACATTTGAATGGAAATTTGCGAATTAAGACTTTATCAGTAACTAGGAAAAATTGTTTCATGACTGTTATGGTATTATTATACAAAATGTCATGTATGACGTCATAATGAAAATTAAGCCAAAAATCAAGTAATGTCAAACTAAATGCAAGTTTCATGGCTTCCAAGCCAAGCATCATTCATTTTTCAGATTGCCCGTTTGTTGTAAACGCCAGGAAATTTTATTGGTTCCTTGACAGTGGCAAAAATAGGCGTTTCCTGGTCACACGGACAAACAATCACAGTCAGATATGATTGGAAAGCTATATAGACTAATTTCAAAATTGACGGTTGGAAAGTTTCAGAAATGGGTTTTTATCCTTAAAACTGAATTATTAGAAGGAACACAGATAGAAAAATGAAAAATCCTAATCTAGAGAAAAATCCAAAGATAAAAGTGAAACACCCGTAATGTGCACTTCAAAAGAAAAGATAACTGATTTCTCGCAATTACGTAGCAATAATTCTCGAAGGGAAGTAGTATCTGGCCCTGAAAAATACCCGAAAACCAGGACTACGCCACCCAGAATGCTAATTTCGGTACAATACAGCATAGAATTTATAAAATGTAACACCTAGGAAGGTTTTATAAGACAGCCTATTCACAAAGACTCTCTAATGCGAAAATTTTGAACTGGTCTGATCATAGACAATCTTGGCCAAAAATGCTGAGACACTTGCAAAAAAAGAAGCTACTTACAAATCACCCGCCCCCCTTCCCCTCAATGTGGTAATCCCCACTTATTCTGTAACCATCCAACATTGAGCCCGGGGGGAAGGGGGTTTAGGTCACCAGCGCATATAATATGAAGATATAGCACGCGAATTCCTTTTTTGTTCAAATGTCTCAGCTATTTTGGACAGACAGGGCAGGGGTTATTTTCTCAGAGATGCTGCTGCTGATATTAAGGGACCCAATAACAAGGAAATTCTTAGAAATCTCTTGATATTAAGGAACCTCTGACTGCAAATGGAATATGCGAATTTGTAAATGTTGCATCTTGAATCCTTCTCCCATGAATCGAGATTATCTGTTATGCTCAAGTGCAGAAACCAAAATACTATGGAAATTAAGATCTCAAACGTTAGAATGAATATCTTGAGCTCGAAATAAGTATTTAATGGCGGTTCCTGCATGAAACGAACGAACAGGGTCTTATGTCGCTCGAGTTCGTCAAGAGATTGTAAAAGGATTATTGCACGTAAAATAAACACGGCAGCCGATTTGCGTTTCTTTGCCTTCATTTTGTTGGCGTGGCTAGAAAGTCGAGTGAAAAATCGAGCGAAAGATCGAATCGTTTGGCCATCCATGCTCGACTTCGCTAGATTTTGAGATCAAATGTCGAGAGAAAGATCGAGCGAAAAATCGAATCGTTTGGCCAAGGCTTTACATGTTATTAACCGCTAATATAATAGATCGACACTTTAATGTTGCAATTGAATTTTTAGAAGCATAGAACTGAAAGGTTCTGTAGTGTTTTTTATATCTTCTATCTGTCGCTTTCTCCTAGGTGAAATCCGTACATTTTGCGGAAACTCTGATGTATTACACAACTTTTACTCGAATAAAATGTCAAGGATGAGGCATGGCTTGCACAGTGCCCCACCCCTTTCCAATATGAACAGTTACAAAGCCAGTGGAGCTCACGTGGAAACAAGGTGCAAAACCTCTGGCGAGACACGCAGTAAAAGAATATCTAGGTTAGAAAAACATTTTCTCGCTTGGCGTTTTATAGATTAAGAAACACCGCTATTGTGTTAGTGTTGCTAAATTTTTTTTATCTATTTATTCGATGCTTCCTTTTGTTCTTTTTCTTAGGGTTACTGTTTACAACTAACTATTTAAGTAAAGCAAAGAACCTTTTGATATTTGTATAATCAATGACTGCACCATTGCAGCATCTATGCTGTTGCCTGGAATAAAAGATCTTCTTCCCACTTCTCTTTTATTTGAAGTTTTTACAAGAAATGCCTGCGTGCATGATCAATTTTCGCATCTTGATATACGGTGGTGGTATGACTTTTCTCATCGACATTGCAATTACCGGACTGAAGAATTACAGACGGTGCTTTGATGCAATAAACCACAGTAAAATAAACGCGACGGTGCATTAAGGAAAACTTCACTTTCCTTAAAGATTACCAGCATTTTAGATATTTGACCACACAACAGAAACAACTGCTTTCTTGGCACATCAGGTGTTTTCCAGATCTTGATGAAAAGGCTTTATATTGTTAACACCGGTCAATGGATTGTTTTATCTTTTGAGTCTTTAGGTTTAGGATATTAATAGACTGCTTTAAAAGCGAATGAAGAAATATTAGTCTCAAAGCAGGTGTAACATAGACCATTGAGAATCGGATATGTGATCTGTTGAGTTGTTGAACTCAGTTAGAATGTAATGAACATTAAACACATTTAATAACGTAAACAACGATGTCAAATTTTCCCAGAACAACAATGTCAATTTTGGTGAGGTAACGATCCCTCTCTGACAAAAATGGGTAACAACTCTCAGAAAGCACCAAACATAAGGGTAATTCAACAGGTTGTAAAATGGAATCATGCCTTGAAATTGAACGAAGAGATCGGAAAAGGCTGCTGGTAGACATTTTTGTCTTTAAATCATTCTGGTATCAGGTTAAACACTTTTTTACTGGTACCAGAGTAAAATTTGAATACTTTGTTAGATTTTTAGCTCACGATACTGTGAGTTAAAAGTTTTTTTAGCCGCCAGTTCATTTTATTATCCTTTGTTAAGCAGCATTTTTCGTGTGATTGAACAAACTTTTTTCTTTTTTACTATGGAATACATATTTGAAGATGGCTATGAAAAAAGCAAACATTTCACGACATTCTTAAAGCCTTTTTGTCTGACACTCCTCATAGTATAAAACGTTAGAGTAAGGATAAAAAAGCACAGGATTGAAAATATATACCAGTTGTGCGGAATACATATTTTTTTGTTTTCTTAACTATGTCTTTTTATTTTGATTCTGTTTTTGAGTTTGCAAAACTAGAAAGTTTGCTGCTTCTTCCCTAGGAATATGGAAGATATAAAGGACGAGCTACTTTCGCTTAAGCATGTTTACCAACTTCAAATGCACTGCGATTACGTCCCTCCTGAAAGTCGACGCCCGACGCCGATTGAAGTGTTTTTGAGGAACGTTCATCTCGCTTCTAGGAATTGTGGAATCGGTATGGAATGAAAACCCTTACCATTTTCCATTATCATTCTTCTCTTTTCTACACACTAAAATCAATTAATTTCTGGTCGGTAGTAGTTGAATTGGAACTTGTGTTTTGGTAGGATTTAAGAAGTGTTTTAAATCATTGACGATTGCCCATTTCAATTTCAGAACTTTTACTTTCGAAGAAATGGCAATCATTCACAAAGAAAAAGGAATTCTCTAAAACATGCATTAAGTGTTAAATAGACTGAAAAACCTTTGAAATGTTATCAGCTGCTATGAGTTCGCTTCAAGCACTAACCAAAAAAATTTTCCTATCTTTTATAAACTCAGTCGTATTAGTTCAAATTTTTCCAAAAATTCATATAGAAGACGTATGGAATGTAAGTATGTTTACAAAAATACTTGAGCATAGTTCGATCTATATCACATTTTGCATTGATTGCTTTTGCTTAAACGTTTCTTGAGCCTTGAGTAAATATGACTCGCGCTCCTTTAGAATTGATAATCAATGCATTGAACACGAACTGGAATCTGCACCTGCGATTTGCTGAAGGCTCTCGATTGCTATCCGATCTGATCAAAGATAAAAAAAGCGTTGAAACAAGTCAGAGTTCTCCGCAGGAAGATTACGATGACGGTGAGTTTTGCTTGTAATCAAACCTTTGTTTCTCACTTGATCGCTGCTTTATTTTGTTGTCAAGGAACTTTTCATTAGAGGGCCCTATAAATTATGAAAAGTTTTGATATTTGAGTAGAGGGGCATATGTGCTATCCAGGTCAGGTCATATCTAGGTGTTGTTTTCGGCTTAGGTTTTATGCGTTTTCAATGTTTCAAGCTTCTGTGATCAATCTGCTTACTACTACCTTATTGCATATGATACTGAATTTAGATCGTTTTGCCTAAGTGATATTCAGCATCAGGCGCTGTTTTTGGGACCTTATTTATTGTAGGTCGTCTAATTATTTTTGTCAATGTAAACAGGAAATTCCGCATGTAAGGAGAAAGCTGAAAATGTTAGCTCAGATAATTTTTAGAAATTTTGATTAAAATGTTTGTCCTGTTTATCCATTTGGGGCCATCTGCTTATTACAACGCTCGTAAGGCTGGTGTGTATCGCCAATGAAACATCATTCTGTAAAGTTTGAATCAATGCATAGTACTACAGATGGATATTGTGAATGTAATTTATGACGTCATTTCTGTTTTATAGGTGATAAATTGTAATAAACACCTCTTTCTCATAAACGCCTTTCTCTAATAAACGCCTCATTTTAAAAGCCACTCATTTTCTTCTTCTACTTGGAAATAAGAGCATTCCTCTCATTGACGCTGCACATTCGTTTATAGAACAGGACGGTTCTAAGCTGCGAGTTTAAAGGCAATCTGTCTCGTTGTGGATTGGTTAACGAGAACAATAGCTGGAACAATGGCCTAAACATGATTCTAGCGCTCCGCCATATTTTTCACAATGCTATAAATTAAAGGGGGACTGGAAACAATAGAAATCCCTTTGTTCTTTTAACCAATCAACGTCGTGACAGATTGCCTTTAACCCATTTTTGCAATCATCAGGAAACCGAGATTTAGGATCATTTCAACTATAGCATCGGTGTATCGGACCTGATCTTTACCAGCATCATATACTACGTATGAAATGATACGAAGACAGATGCCATGTCAATGAAACTAACTACATACCGTTTTAATTCGGTTATAAGCCGTCCTTGTTTTTAAACCGCGGCAATTTGGGTTCGTAAAACAATGCATGGCACCCTTGATTATAAGCCGCACTCAGAAAACCATAAAGAGATACTTGAATCGAAATGACAGATACAAAAACTGATGAAAAAGGTAGATGTTTAGATGTTCAACCAACAAAAAAATCGTCCAGCAACAGGCACCACGGAGCAGGGGGTTTTGGGGGCTTTAGCTTTTACAAAAAATTAAAGAGGGGACCACCAATGAAGCCTTCTTTAAAAATGGCTTTGAAAAATGCAAACATTTGAGTAAACTGAAGCTTTTTGTCTGACACTCTTCAGAGCATAAACATCAGAACATAGATCGAAAGCCCTAAGCTAGGTAACATATATACCCAGTTGTGGATCGAAACAGGCCAATCAGAAACGCGAGCACATGACTGTTGTTCTAGCCCTCTCTCCCCTGTTTAATATTTCCCTGGTTAACATCTCAATACTGCAGTTGATTTTACGATCCTTTTAGTAAAAGTACTTCCAACTTTTTGTACAAATATTTGGCTTCAGTTTCGGACTAAAGAGTATAATTTTAATTTAATGGTGGTTGTGCAGGTGGTATTTTTTACGAGATAAATATTTCATTTTTCCCGGATTGATGATGATCAGAAACTTGGAAGGAAAAGTTGTACCCGGAACGATTTGTTTGTTAAAATCTCTAATTAATCTGAAACCTGTCAATTTTCAGCAAGTCTACAATACAATTTTTCCATAAGCATGTCCTTAGTAAATGGACCCAGAAATCACAATTTATGATATAGTAGCTTCATAGTATGATAAATAAAATGATAAAAAAGGTCTACATACGCTTCAATGATGAAATTTGATATTTTCAGTAAAGTAAATTAAGATCAAAACCAATTACCAAATAATGTCTTTAAGGGTGTGATAAATCTGAGTTTGTGCCTTGCGTATAATCCTAAATCACGAACTTACACAGAATGATGTGTGAACATGATATGCAGCATTGTTTTGATTCTGGTTTACAAACTTTTGCAGATTTCTTCGTTACGTCAGATCGACAAGGAGTAGCAGTTTCAATACCAAGAAGAGATCCGCATCCAACAATCATCCCAATATTTCTTGACTTGGAAGTCACCGATGAGCTTATAACAAGACATGGTATGCCTTCATTTGCGCTATTACAGCTAGTGCTAGGTTAACACAGCTTCCTGTTATCATTTACTGTTTGTCTATCTCCTCAAAACTAGTCAATTAATTTACTTTTGCTTTTAATTATTTTATAATATCGTTAAGTTTAATCTAATTATTCTTACAAAAGCAAATGAACTAACGGTGAAGTTGTGAAAATAATTTAAAATTCTGTGTTTGAGAACTTGTTAATATTAAAAATTTTATAAAATTTATGAAAGCTAAGAAATCATGCTAGAAAGGTCAACATAATAATTGAAAGAAAATTTTGTGAAGAAATATTGATGTGCTAGGATAATTCATTCTTGCAAAATTTGTAACTGCCTCGATGCTGCGCTGAAACAGTAGACCTCTAAAGTCACATGTGGACAATAATTACATGATTTTGTCTTGTACAAAACACTGTCCTGCTGTTTTTTAGTAGTTTTATATTGTATTAAAATTAGGAACGTTGAGGTTACAAAATATAGAGTTTCGAGGAAGGTCAACAAAATTTTCCAGCTCTGCAGATTCTATTTCTGAGCTTGGTTTAAGATCATTCAAAAGGATTATTTATCAAAGAGTTGCATTCTTAATCCGCTTTACGTCTTCATCCTAGCTTTCGCTACTGCCCTTTGTTTTCTTTACGACGACGAAGTCAAAATCGAAACTCTTGACGTCATCAATGTACTAGCTGCAGCTCGCTTTCTTCGTATAAACCCATTGGTTAATAGGTTAGTATTATTTAGTTAGCAATTATGATTGAACGAATATTTTTTTTTTGGATAATATTATCAATATTAATGCATGACTATTTGAGTAATATCACGTTTCTGATTGGCCTATTTCGATCCACAACTGGGTATATATATATTTCTTAGCGTAGAGTTTTCGATCTATGTTCTGACGTTTTAAACTGTGAAGAGTGTCAGACGAAAAGCTTAAGTATGACTCAAAATGTTTGCTTTTTTCAAAGCCATTTTTAAGTTGTGTACCACCAAAAGATTGTTTGTATAAACAATTTGTTATTTTAGCTAATTCTTAGCTCTTTGTCATTTTTGGCTTGTGTTTTAAACGATACACACAGATAATTTTTGCTGGTATGAACTTTAAAGGTGAATTAACAAAGTTGTTGCAAACTTTTTGCATTTTTCTGTCTTAAAAATCAGGACCTTTTTTAGCATTCCGGGGGTTGGGTTTGGGTGGGGTGGAGGAGGGGGATTGCCTCTCAAGCCTATGTGGTCTTCCATTGTTTTAAACAATAGTCTTTTGTTCTTCTCTTAAGACTATGTTGCAGATATTACCCTAAATGTCATTTTCTCATTTTATCCTATCAACTTATAGATGCATTGATCTGATGATAACTAATGTTGATTCAAGGAATGCATGCATATTTCACAGAGCTGCCGTCAAGGTATGAATAAGAAGGGGGGGATCTACATTGCAAAAGCATTGCAATCTCAGAACGATCTCAGAAATAAATTTTTAAGTTACCATCATTTTCAGAAATTTCATAGAAGATTCTTTCCCCTATTTAAAGTCATTCATTGTTATTCAAGTTGTCATTAATTTTCTTTAAGAAAAAAGAGGAGTTAAGAAGTCCAGTTAACTCACTCGCAAACCTTGTGAGAAATCGTCTGGTATGACGTACTACAGTAGTTGTTGCTGTTGTTGTCATTTAATGTACGGGTGAAGTATGCGTTAAAAATTAGATTTGAGTTGAAGTTGATTAGAGAAGACAGAATTAGAACGGATCGAATTTGGAACCTGAGTTAGAATTTACGGAATTGAACAGTCCTCTATTGGAACTAGAATTGGAGCCTAAATCATATATCATTGTCTTTCTTATCTTTTATCTACTATCTGTAGTACTGAACTTGAGCCACCAGCGTATATAGCTATTTCGCACAACCTTTTCACTTTCCCATTCAATCCCTATTCTGTGAGTCAATTTCTTTTTGCAGGAATTTGGCTTTATTTTGATCATCATTGTTTCTATTTCAAGCTACTGATCAAACACTTCTATCCTGCTATACTGTTGTAAAGTTTTGAATAATTTAGCAGATTGGCTATGTGAGTGTGAAAAATTCTCAAAGTATAGTCCCTTGTTTTCTAAATACGCGTCTGCACGCATTTTTCCCAGCATGATTTCGGTAAAACCCCTCGCAAAGCTTGAGTTTAAGCTGTTCCTCACAGAGTCGTGACGTCATTGCCTTCTTTTGCAGTATGATGTCCCAGCTGTCCAGAAATACTGCGAGAACTGGTTGCAGCTAAATGCAATTCCACAAGTATGTCTTTGGTTTCTAGGCAAAAGCAAAAATGGATTCAGATTTAACTTAAGTCGAGATTCATTTTTTGTGTTGAAACATAACTTTAGTCCTGGAATTCTTGATTTTTATTCTCGTTTGAAGATAGTGCCTCCTTTCATTTTGTTTCACACATTTCACATACCGTGTAAATAAAATGTAGGACGGTTCTTGGCAGGGACGGATTTAGAGGAGGGTGTAGAGGATGGGCACTTTTTCTGTGCTCCAATTATTCTGTGCTCTTCGGTAAATTGTGCTTCCTTCGGTAAAAATCATTTTTAGTAGCCAGTAGCAGTATTTACTCTATTTATCTTCTTATCTTCTCATCTTCTTTATCTTAATGTTAAAAACCGAATTTTGAAAATGGGCGTTTACATCATATTCTAGCGATATGAGGGGTGGGAAACCAAATTCCGATTAGTATCTTAACACCCCACCAATCCTTGTCGCTTTAATCCAGCCCTAGCCTTGGCCGACATTTCCAGTCTAATCAACATTATTAGCCAAAGTTTTTCACGGTAGTTGTTTCCTTGCGAATCTGAGTGTGTTCTCTATGCTAAGCGTATGATGTTTTAATTTTTTAGCTATCATCATCATTCGCTTTAGCCCATCTTAGCAGCTCTTTGTTGGAAAAGCTGTTAAAGTCGCACAAGTGAGTCTGTTTTAGATTATGTACTTATCATAAACTTCAGTTTGTATAAATTGCGATCAATTTTTCTGCCTTTGAGCGAGATTTTTGGACGCATTTCAAACGTGATATTGAAAGTCAATGTTGAAAGAGCATCGCAATATTACTTCTCTTCCATTCAACAGTCACTGTAGCTTTCAAATATGGTAATTTTAAAAGGCTCTTATATTTTAAACTGGTGCAAACGGATTAATACTATAAAAGAGAAGATCATTCGGTGATTTTTTTAGTTGATCAATCTCTGCCTATTAGCTCAGAATTTTATCAGAGAATCCTAGCAAGAAATCTAGCTTTCAGGATTCGTGTGTGAATGTAAGGCTAAGTCAGTCTGTTGGGCTTAAATTTAAGATCGTAATTGATTGTTTTATTCTCAGAAACTAAATAATTTTCTCTAAAGTCTTTTATGAGCTGAATGTTGAACAGGCTTTTCACTCAGACATAACTGTGCACAAATATTATTCAAAATCTTAAAAGAAATTTTTAGAAGTGGAAGAAAAATTTTTCTCTGATTGTTGAAGGAATGACGTTAAAATTTTGGATTATAATCAGTATCCGAATTGCAGCTAGTTTTCTTTATTGAATAGACAAGTTCAAGATGTTTGGTTGTCTAACCATGAATGAACGAGGGACCCGTTTCCCTTCTCCCTATGTACTCATTATATCTTGATGTTTAAAATTTTGCTTGCTCTGAAGTTATACTTTTATCAGGCTTAATTACAAAATAAACAGCCATATTTTTACATCCATATTATCTTACACCGTGTAGTTTTTGCGTATAACTGGACTTGGGTTTGCTCGTTGTCTGTGTCAAACCAATACAGTCTGTGACCTTTTGCTGCATGACCTTGCACGACAAGGTCATCGTATGAAAATTCACACACTCAATCATAAACAATTAACAAGCTTAGTTTCCTAAATGATCATTCGTTATTCCTTCTTAGTGTCTTTTCATATGAGTACACAATAGATTGTTTACTTTGCTCTTTGCTATAATCTTTGCATTCTCTTCAAGCCTCTTTCTCTGCAATGAATACCAAGTATACAAGTTGCTATGTAACTGGGTGTTCTGTAAACAGCATCCAACGCTGCAGGTAGGAAGTTTTTTCTTTTATCTTATTAGAAAATTAGCTTTATGTTGGTTCTTTGATAATGTTTCGATATTTGTTTGAATTATCAAACGCTTGGGAGCGAGCAGGTTTTTTTTGTGAATGTCAGGCGTCTTGGAAAATAGTTTAGACATCTTTCTTATAACTAGTAATGCAAGATTTGAAGACAATAATATAAGCTTATTTTGCTAATATTGGGATTCGTGGAGAGTATTGATAGGAATAATAATCCATGCAATTAATACTTATACGAGTTTGATGCTGAAAAGACATTACTGGTCTCTGTACCCGAATACTTATTGGAAAAAAGTACAAAGAATTTTTGTTAAAACGCTACCTATCCTTTCTTTGGAATCTTTGTTCTTGACTACATGAAAGACACAAGGCCAAATGGAAGTTCTTGTAACTTACATAGTCGTTGCCTAATAGGCGGTTAGGCGTACTTTGACATTAAATAAGCTATTGTAATACTGTTGGTACATACTATTGGGGACAGGTCAATGCTTAGTAGTAGCTGATTTTGTTAATGCTAGTTTATAAAAGGAAATATTGGTGCAAGTAATGCAGAGCGCTGGTTTTTTTCTGGCTACTTGTGATTTGTGGTATCCTTTTTGACAAGTTGTTGAAATATTGGAGTTTTGTAGATTGCAATGCTGAGATTTTGTTTAACCCTATCCAGACTAGGGGGGGGGCACAAAGTGGTTGCCCCTAGTTGGTTTTTCTTTCATAAATTCAGGAGCTTCAAAGTAATACCCCTCAGAACTCCTGACTTTTAGTTTTAACCTGTTTGACACATGTTCATATAAAAAGATAATTTTTTTTGTTAATCAGGGGCTGTGTAGGGGCGTTTTCAAAACTAGTCAAGTAAAAAAAAGTTTAATCTGCCACGGATTCGCAACAAAAGTAGATGTATTGATGAAAATTAGTATCTAGGCATTAATTTGTGCTCTTTTCATGATTCTGACCAGAAAATATAAATTCAACATCCTTTTCTACGATTTTTCTGCTGCGCATGCGCACACATTTGTTGACATATTTATAGGTATTACATTAATATAACTGCAAGTTTAGATTAATTTGTCTGCTAAGGCATTAAAAATGAACTTAAACATGACATTTGGTTGTATCGATCATTTAGTTATATAGAAAGAACTAGCCAAATACAAAATATGTTGAGTTCTTGTGTTGGAACGTTGATAATTTTGAGAAATAACATTAAAATTGTGTCATTCTTCTTGTTTCTATTAGAAAATGCATCAAATTTGCATATTTCAAAATCTTAGCCCGATGCTTTGGAATTTATGAATATTTAAAGATTTTCTAAAATTTTCTAAATTTTTGCTCCACCCGGCCACCATTACGATGACGTCATCGTTAAACCACGTGACTTAAAAATTGAACAATAGTACTAAAATGTGGAGAATAG